TGGTCTATTTTCAAACAGTATAAAACGAATATTCGTGGACCTTTGAGCCAATAGCTATTTTTAAGTCTTCCAGAGAGTGCTTCAGATCTTTCTTAGTATCCAATGAATTTTAAAATCTAAGATTATATTTGTGATCAGGAAACTTAACTTTATCGAAATATAACTACTCGCACTAAAATTAGAATAAAACGTTTTTTCGATCCTTGAGGGGTAGGTACCCCAGATGTTAAAAATTGATTTTTCATAAAATACACAGTAAACTCCTGGAAAATAATCGAAATTCAATGATGACTCTTAAGTTAATAACATTAAGTGCAGGTTTTTAGTGGTCAGGTTTCTAATTTGGCACACCTCTGATTTGATTATGGAATTAGTGTATTCAGCAAGATTGTGGGAAAATAATGAGTTTAACAGAGAATTAAGTCATCCTGTTGTATAATACTCCTTTATTTTTCTGTAGTTTTTCGACAACTACTAACACCTTTAGCATCTTTCAGCACCTTCAGCACCTGCTCAGCACCTACTCAGCACCTCCGGCACCTGTTCAGTACCTTTAGCACTTTATAGTATATTTTGGTGCTTGGAGCCAGCACTGTCCCCCTTGGTTTTTTTGGAAAAATAAAATCCTTTTTTAGCTAGAAATAATGAGTTTTCTCTCATTGGTTTCTATTTCTTTTGACTTACTTAATTAATTTGAGATTGCTTTCTACTAAAAGTATATTATCCTTCATAATGGTTTTCCTCTTGTGAGGAAAAATATCGTATCTAATACGGAAATAATTATGCGTTCCATAAAAAAAGAAGAACTCCTATCAGTATTGCTCTACGTATTTAGACATTTTGAAAAAAACAGATCATCTTCTATCTTAACAAGCAAATTTCAACATTAATGAAAATTTGATTTCTTTCTTGAAATGATATGTAGTTAAAATAGAGTAACACCTGAACTATAAATAATAAATTACTCTTTTTCTTGTAATAAATTTCACCTATATTTCATTACACTAAACGATTACTTGTAAAATTCTACGTATAATCCAAATAATTTTATTATGCTTAATAATCTCTGCCAAATTTATAGCAAGCAATACAACCACCCGTTCAAGATGCACGACTGTAACAAAACAACATTCTGTCGATATCTATTACACCGCTGTATAATTCTACAAATATTGTTGCCCCTCATATTACCTCATTTTAGTTAATGATCTTCATACATGTTATTTTACACATGGATTGTTAGATAACGCAATGATTCTAGATTTGAAACATGATTAAGGAAGAATTCGACAAAATATTGTTCTGAAAAATCGTACGTCTGAAACAGATCAGTTCTATTGCGTGTCGGAAACTGATTGAGACTCTTTAAGATAATAAAAATATCTAAATGCTACAAAAGCTTCGCGATTAATCATTTTATCAAAAATGTCTATATTTTGTAATGAAATATCGATGAAATAGTTACGAAACAAGCAGTACCCCATTATTTGTGTCTCGTCCAATACATTGAAGATCAAATTGTAGAAATTGGAATTTTATTTTGGAAATATTCAGAATTTTAAGTAATACTAGACTCAAAGTGCTAGCCAGTGTTTACAGTAAAATTTATTTTTAATAAATTTATCGAAGCAATAAGTTATAAATAATAGGATTTTTGACTTTCGATGTTTCTTGAATGACAATTTTGACAGTGACTTGGTGTAATAATTTATTAGCTACTAAAAATAATTTTGAATGAAAATAAATAGTTTTATGAATTATATAAATGTTACGCTAGCAATTCAAAATAGAAAAATGATTTTCTTAGCTTCTATTTTATTGTCTTCAATACTATAGTAGTTGACAGATGTCAATGAAAAAATTTCTTAAATAATTGATATTACATTCATCGAAGCAATCTTTATATGTATACATCATGGCTTGAAAAAAAGAATTTTCTAATCAAATAGAGAGTGACACGATGGTAGAGCGCCCGGCATTTGAGCGCTCATTAAACAAGTGATTAAAGAATACAAGAAAATACTTTTATTTAAATAATCAGATTCACATCAAAAATAGAAGAGAGCTCTTGCTCGTTTAAAAAATACGTCGCTTGTTCTTAAATCAAAGGAAGAAACAAGTTGTTGCAATTGTTCAGTCATTATTAAACTAGCGTGCTGCTCCATCATTTGTAAGTCCTTTATTGATTCATATATCGATGGATTCTGTCGTATCGAATGCTAAAAAGGAAAGAATAAGCTATTGTTTGGAAAAAGTACTTGAGAAAAAAACGTTACCTGCTCAGGGAATCATTCCGACAGTAGGATCCTATCGGATCCTGACAAGGGTCAGACAGTGAATATACCGAATACCATATGTGTTTCCATGAAACCGACGAAATATTATGGGATTCCTGGACACGGACCTACAGTCGGATCCTTGGTATTGGATCCGATGTTGGATTTTAACGGAATCCAACTCTGAAAAATCACCCTTGTGCTCTGATGGCATAAAATGCTTATTTGGTCGTGAGTAAGAAAATAATTTTTTCCGTCGGAACCGACAATAGGTCCGCGTTCAAGAATTCTATCGGGTTCCATCGGGGAGTCGGATCCCATAGGATTCGATAAAATCCATTGTCGGATTCATTCACCTGGGTGTATTGCGCGATGCCAACCCTCATTTGAGTTGTTTGTTCGCGGTAGTTGCTGGTCGAGACGAGAAATACAGTTCCACATAGCTATAGGAAAACGTGGAGCACGGCGTCGTTGATTGCGAACCTGGCGTCCAATAAAATTGCCCTTGTAGTAGTCTACGAAATCTAAAATCATGATAAAAATAAATCATTACCTTTTTTTAAATGACAAAAAATATTTTGTATCGTCTATAGAATCAGGAGAATCAACTTGTAATTTTTTGGAACTCATCTATTACAGATGGTTCAGATATTAGTGCAAGACAAGCATAAGTTTTCAAACACCATCGAACTTGACGATCATCTACAAAAAGCTTTTGTAATCCAAGAGTCTAGATAAACAGATGAAATATTATTAGGATTATATAAACTAATAATGCTTATGATCAAGTCAACTGACTTTAATTTGTCTCCATAAACACTGTTTAAAATGGAAGAAACAATCATGAACTGTTGCTATTGGTAGTTTTTTCTTGGTCACGTTGTGAACAGCCTTTTCATAGTCAGTTGTTATTGATATAGAGCGTTGAAAAATATGCTGCATCACAACGTCAAATATTGCACCATAGATTTCTTCAGATTTTCCAGAAATTACAATAAACAGATGGTAATGGTTATCCACATATGACACCATGAATGGTGTATAACTGATAAAATAATTGTGGAGCCATCTACGGAAAAAAATATGCGTGAACAAATCGTTGAAAAAACTTATTATACTTATTATACGTACCTTAAATGAACCATCTGCGTGCCAAAATTCTGAGTTCGATAGACGATAATATAATCATTCGATTAGTACTACTTTCATTATCATACAATAAGAACCTGTTACCTCCATTAGTAACTCGAAGTTCATCACAAATATGAATATCATCATATGCACTCGGTCGTGGTAATGGTATTTCTTTGTTCACTCTTTCGCTCAATAGTACGTTGCGATGATGAATAATTTGGAACAGCTGTTCCATCATCTTTGCTGATACTTAGTAAAACTTCGTGAATAATACGTCGGGGTGTATCATGCGATGTTGTTACGCTATTCACAATTTTTGATTTATATTCTATTGCTATTGTTTCTTCAGAATTAGGTGCATGAATATGATCTTTGACTTTGATATATATATTGCACCATCGAAACACGCACAATCTTCACAATTGTTTTTACAGCACCGCCAGATGGCTTGGGATTTCTTGTCATGTCTGTAGCGAATGCCATCAAAAAGAAGTTGATCCTTATTTTTTGACGCTTTAACAATTGACATTATATAATTATAATAATCTAATGAGATATACCACTAAAGAAATGTATAAAGATAAAAAAAATTAGTTAAAAGAACTTACTCGTTTTTTTACGGATTAGTATGGAGACCTTTAATAGCATGTGATCAATCTCGTTGGGAAATGTCGCATGTTTCTGTTCATTAGTTTTGAATTGAATTTAGTGTTCGAATATTGATCTTTCTTTATTTACAATTAATCAATGAGAGCTCAAGTGTCGGGCTCTCTCCTGTCAGGAGCTCAACTGTCGTTGTACCCAAATAGTGTCCCTTGATAATATATATATCCAAATAAAAATCATAAGTACTAGCAGAGAAAAAAGACCTGTTTGTGACAGTATTTTCAATTCTATCTGACAATACGCGTAGTATACTACGCGTATTAATCGGTGTATACACCGATTAATTGATTCAATATTATGTCTTACTTTTCTGACAAAATGTTATGTGTGAAGACTATAGGAAAACAGATTCTTTTATTTCATTTCACTTTTTATGAGAACTGATGTATTGATTCATTCAACTGCATTATGTTTTGCACATCAATTGGTTGTTTTTTTCTAATTAAAAATATATTGAAAGAGTATATTCTAAAATACAATATTTTGTTTTTCTTTTAGGTTTAAGTTACTTGATACGCATTGTTTTTAAAAATGAAACTTGAAACTTGATTCCGATCACTTTTGTTCTGATATTTTATAGAAGCGAATCATTTGTTGATTTATGAATTAAAAATGAAAATTGAAAGTTAAATTAAAATGCTGTTGTAAATCTCAATGAAAGAAAAAGTATTAATATTCGCAAAAATGAGAAAACGAAAAATAATCTTTCATTTGTTGAATATATAAATACAACTAAAATTATATATAACTATTACATTCATCATCGTATTGTCTACTGTTTTTCTGCTACGAAAACAACAATGAAATTCATCTTGACCATTCTTTTTATTATGTGTCTTGCTTTGGTACATCAATCATTGGCTGCATCTGTTGATGTTGAATTCAAACGCAATCAATTGATCGACCCTCGATTGATCCCTAATTTTCATTGTATTACACAATGTCTTCAACCAACTGGCGTAGAAAGTGAAGATAGTGACATTGAATTGCGAGGCTTACTGGACAACTATCAAGCACTTTTTAGTTGCATCGGCCAATGTTCGAAAAAGTAAATAATGCGAAAAATGTTTTTTAATCAACTAAGTATGCCATTATTATGAATAAAATGAAATAAAAAAAAAAAGATCTAATAACAAATCACTTTCTTTTTTCTTTTGTCGTTCATTGTCAAATGAGCTTAATCGCATATTTCTATGAATAGATTCTTTCAGATTAATTTCACATGCGTCGATTCACGTATCTTCATCTGTCATACGATATATCCGGTCTAATATTTTTGTTCTAGGATGATTCTTTGTAGTTCCATGTCCGACTTCAGATTGTTTTTAATTACTTGAGAAAAAGATTGTTAACACGACACAGTCATTTGTTTACCCTTATAGCTTTCTATCTGTTACTATTGCTCATCAAAACTATCGAATATTATAAATTTTCTTCTACTTGATCAATATAATATGTAGATGTTTTCTATTGATATAATTATGCAAAAAAAATGTTTTTCATCATATAAAAAATAGGCTTCAAAGAGGTATAATATAACTGAAAAACAAAGATGCATACAGTATTAAATAACGCATATGTAGAGAAAAACAAAATTCAAAACAATTAGTTATCTTTCAATAAAAAAAAACTAAATCATCTATATTTATATTTTATTTCCTATAAATTGTCGATTTCTCGTCAAATTTTAATTGATAATTAACGAATATAGAGATTCTATGAATGCTTTATATTTTATTAATTTAAGTACAAGTTGTATTGAAACTACATTTATCTATAGTATATAGAAATGAATATTCATGAATATTTCATACTGTTATGAGACTCGTGTATTTTTTGAAATAATTATTAGACAAATAATATTTTATTTTCCATTATCATAATTATGAATAGAACTCACAAATTTCATATTGGTTCAATGAATAATTATATTTCGATTGCAAAGATATTCTTGCTGATATATTTTGACACGTTCCATAAAAAGACGGTCTATCTCTCTCGTTCTCTCTTTACGAGAGGTACTTCTTTATTTTACATTATATGTGAAAAGAAAATGTTGGTTCCGTACAAAAGAATATATTTCTGTAAAAGCAGTAATTGAAATAAGTACGTAGGCATTGTTGAGATCTTATTTTGACGCATAAAAACAAATCAAGATCTACAATGAAAGAAAATCTTGTTTTCAGTTTATTCTATGCTATAGATTTATGAATGATATATAGTTTCTTTTTGTATATGAACTTTATTATTCTTGAGTACTACTTCAGTTTATTTCATCCAATCAACTAAAATCTAATTAGTGTAAGTTAAAGGGTTCTTTTTTTGTTATATACTATTAAAAATAATAAATCAATTCTATGAGAAAATTGTATCTCTCACCATTTTATTAATGATAATAATATTTCCTATTATATTCTGCGAGTTTTGAAGTATGCATCATTCCAACAGTCGATTAAATGCACTTCTAATCACAATCATCATTGCTCGTATTTCAGCTTGAGATACGACAATGATGGATTTCAAACAAAAGCACGAAACACATATTCATGCTTGAATGTCGAATGATTAATGCGTTACCATGATGATCATGATAGTGATACATAAAAGCGATTTTCAATGAGTCGGATTTTTCTTTAAAGAACAAGGAGGCGTGCTTTTTAATATTCTATTACTTGAGGTCATAATTGAACTATAGCGAACAATGTTCTCAATTGTTTTTTTCAAGTAATTGTCGACTAATGTTATTTTTACTCATCATTATTTAAAATAGACAGGTAGTTTTAATGGCTGTTGTTATTTGAAAATCTATTATTTTTTTCTGTTGAATACGTTTGTATCATATCAATCGACTATTAGGAGATGCTGTCACTCGTAATTGATTTTGTTTCCTGCTCAGACGGCACCACTAGCTGTTTTTTTTCTTTTTTCATTCATCATATGCAATGTGCACCCTTATTATTGTAAAAACGGGCATCTATTGCTCGGCTGTAGCTGTATCATCCCGTATGACAGAGAAAAAAATAGAGAATTGGAAAAATAGAACACGAGAGAAATAGAGAGAACGGGAAAGAGAGACACGGAGAGAGAGAGAGAGAGAGAGAGAAGATGGGCAAGAGAAAGATTAATATTTCTTTGAAATATTATTTACATTTTGTCACTTCCTTTTGGATGAACACAACAAGAAAGCGTAGTTTTATACCACTATAACAATGATAACTAATATGTCTCTTTCATTGGAGAAAACATGCTCGAAACCGGATATACACGGTCCCGATGCACCTTTTTACCATTGGTTAGCACTGGGCTACGTATTTTTATTTATTCTTGCGTTAACCGCAAATTTATACGTTCTTTTCAAATTATTTCACTACACTCGACGTCGTTTTCGTGATCATATACTCTTATTGAATTTGTGTGCGGCTGATTTATTTGTTACCATTGTTTATATTCCAAGCGAAATCTATGCTTATACTGTTGGTCGTTGGCATAATGATGAAATATGTAAAACAATTGCTGCATTGAAAGGACTTGGTATTTATGTATCATCATGTACAATAATTGGTATATCACTTGATCGTTATCTATCTATTGTACATCCATTGACTGTTTATCAATCTAATACAAGAAATAAATTATTTGTTGTTGGCTCGTGGCTGATATCGGCAGTAGCATGCATACCACAGGTAAGTGTTTAATCTTAAGGAGTGATATTATCGATAAAATTTGTTTTGTTAATCATAGTTAATTATATTTAAACGATTAACAAATGAAGAATTATGTCGTGAAATATGTGGTGATATACTTTCATCCGATCCAGTAAAACGTTTGGCTTATAATATAGCTGTTGCTATATTTGCATATATAGCACCTTTAATAGCTATTTTTTATTCTTATTTTCGTATTTTATATGTTTTACAAAGACGTTGCGATCGACGAACATTTCGATTCGGCAAATGCCATGGTATAAGTGCACGTAGTTGTGATGTTAGCCAAACTTCGTCATTAAAACGAAATACTAGAAAAAGTTTCAATCATGAACGAGGACGAGGAGGAACTGAACGAATTTCTGAACAAGCTGCTGTTCAAGAAGAACTCAATACACATAATATGAAAACAATAACAAGGGCAAAATTAAAAACATTAAAATTAACCGTTATAATCGGTAAACACTTTTAATCCAAACAAAAAATAAAAGTGATCGACTTTTTTGTTTTTCTTTATTTTAGTCATTTGTTTTATTCTTTGTTGGACACCTTACTATTGTATTGTCTTTTTTCTTCTTATAACTGATGCTCGTATTGATTATGATAATTTAACGAATCAACATGGAAATTTTACTCTAACCACACCTATGGATGTGCCTGCTTATGATCAATCATCGCGCGATGAACGTTCCCTTCTAATTGTGATGATGCTTGCTGTATCAAACTCTGTTTTAGATCCATTATTATACGGTAATTACCCATGTCTATATCTATTTATTGATTTACTTGAAATTAATAATTCATGCTTCCTTTATTTTTAATTTATGATGTTTTTAATAGTTTTTCTTTCTCTCTTTCTTGTCAGGTTGTTATTTGGTACGACCCACGAAATTGAATTGTTTAAGTCGACGAAGAACTCGAACTGAAACAACAATATTAAAACGAACTCCTGGTGCGATCATTGCTGATAAAGAATCTAAACTAGCAACAATACGAACAAATCTTAAAAATGATAATCATGAGCAACATGATGTAGCTGTTGAATGTCAACTTTAGAAACTAAACTAAAACAAGGATTTCCCTTTTCTTTTAGTTCCTATTATTCTTTCCGTTTACTATCGATCTTTTTTCTATCTCTTTCTTTCTTTCTTAAATGTTATTTCTTCTGATAGCATAATATCGAAAAAAAGCGAGATAAAATCTGATGTCGGAAAAGTTTTGATGCGGCCCAAAATATAAGAAGTTTCGTTACTAATCTTTAATAAATATCATAGACTTAACAATAAAAATAAGATTCAGGACGGAACAAGTTGCAGTAAATTCAACGTATTAGTCAGTAAGAAAAACTACACATGTACGTCATCAATTATTGATGATAAAAAACAGAAATATCATCTTAAGTATTGTTTGTCATTGTGCTTGCTTGACTTACACTGGAAATCGAAACAAGATCAAGATGATAATATTACCCATTAACTTAAATGGAGATTTGAATGATACTCTAAAGAACTATGAATGCTAAATGACAAGAAAATAATAGATGCTGAATGTCATATTCATTGATTTGGAAACCAAAATACCAAATTAAAATGAATAAATAAAAAATGAATGATTGCTAAAAATGTCAAAACAGCGATCTAGATCTTTTTGTGGGAATGCCAATCTTTCAATAATTATACTGTATGAATGGCTTGAGTCAGATGGCAGAAATAAATTTCTTTACAGAGGAGAAACTATTAATTACGTTTAAATTAAAAATATTTAATGTAAAAACAAAAAAATCTATTAATATTAGATGTTGTAGTTCGACTTGTAAATGATTTATTTTGATATTCGTCAATAATTAACGAACAAAATAAAACTATATTACATAGGAATTAACGCAAATGATTAATTATGAGTTTTATAGACGTAAGATAAAAGCAAAAGCATAGATATGCATTATTTTATTAGTGAATATGTTTTAGTAATGATAAATATGTTATGACTATTTCGATAATGATTTTAGAAGAGCAAAAAAAGGACATAACTATATTCATGAGCGAAATCGGAGATTTCTCAAATTTTTGTCGTTGTATAAAAAAATAACACAAGTACTTTTAGAATAATTTGATATAATGTAGACTATTTTTCTTATACATATTTATTAGATATTATCAAATCATAAATAATCGAATAGCAAAATGCTGTATTTAAATTTGTTGTACAATTGTGAATAGATTATATCAGTAAAAAGTCAAATATTTATGTTATTACTCTAGTGTGACTATGTCACTATAGATAAAATTCACAAAGCATTTTATATTTCACAAATGTATAATTTTTACTAAACCTAATGCCAATTAAAAAGAACTGGCGAAATTACTCTATATTTGGATAGATATCATTTGTACAGAAAACTGTATTCTTTTCGTTGAGCAAGAGAAGATGTCGATACATCAGATTCTATATGATCATTGTTCTGATCGACTATTTAGAACATTTCCTAATGAAATTTTTGAAAACTAATCTAACCTGTGAAACTTACAAAGCGACCTACCAATTATTACGTGTAAATTTCAAGTCGTAATCAAAAGCTTTCAAAACTAGTCAGCATTCAAACGCTTATGCTGAATCGCTCATCAGCTATGAATATTCTACTCGAAATCTCAATCGAGCTTCTTTGCAGATATTTCTATAGAAAAAAATATTTTTCAACTTTTGTCTCATAAAATAGAAAAAAAATCATTTTTCGACATTCAGAACATTTATTTGTAAAATCTAAGAAAATTCTCTTGAGAAATTTGTCATAAATGACACAATGTCACTGTGTATCTGTCTGCCAGGGGTAATAACCATATCTTTCTGTTCTGCTTCGCTGAAAAGATGTTTAAATTATAGGCACTTCCTTCTATTTGCAAGGCGAGTATTTGACAAATTATCAGAAGAATATTTATTTTATTCTATGCAAATATTGTTGTATAATTACTAGTAAACAAGAAAAACAAAGTATAATCATAAAAACAATGCATGACTGTCAAACGATATATAAAAGATTTTTATTTCTTTTTATTATCATTTATGAAAAAAAAAGAAAAAATAGTTGAAATAGCTATTTTTATCATTAATCTTATTTGAATACACTCAATGATTTTTGCATAAAAATCAAGAATAGTAAAACATTCTGGATGTCTGAAGCACTATCAGCGAGAAGTATTTTGTCTCTGGGGCTATTTCCTCATCATAAACTTGATTAATCATGAAAGGAACTAACATGGATACTTTTAAATCTGCGGAAATTTCTCACTATGATATTTTTTAATATCTTAATGGGTAATGAAGATCATATTCTTAGATATTCTTTACTATCCTGTTGTCCTGAAAAGCAAAGTACATTTTTCTTTTGTTGTCGAAATGAAAATTTTGTTAATTTCAAAATAAAATTATGAATATTATTTCTGATTTTCTTTTATCATATTCAAAAAATACTGGCAAAAACAAAAACATGGCGATCACTTGCTGGGTGTCAAAGTAGAGTTGCTTTCCTATAATTTAGCAACGTCAAATTAAAGCCTGGTAAAAAAATTCACACTTATTGGCATCAATGATTAGTACAAAATAGTAAAAGTAGAATAATTACAGTTTAATTTTAATTTTAATTTTAATTCTTAATAAATAAATATATTTCTTCTTCTCATGATGTAATAAATCAAAAAGAAAATTGAAATTCAAGTGAAAATGAAAGTGGAGAATAATACCAAAATAGCAAAGATTACATATATGTTTTGAAGAAAACAAAGACAGAAAAACAAAATAAGTTAATAATTTATGATTTATAGCTCCTCGTTAAATTCTCTTGCGTGTTGGTAATTACTGACATTTTGAAAAACAAATGGTGAATACATTTCAGTTGAATTATAATTCATTCCATTATAAGGTATATTAGCCGCATCAGTCATTGTCGATTGAAACGAATGTGGTGGTATTGGATAGCTAAAAGATGTTGAGTAAGTACATTAAATTTATTTATCATAGAAAGTCTTTTACCGAAAATTTGGCCACATTGAAGTATAAAATGAATGATGAGAATCAGGCATATAATAAGGTGAAGGTGTTGGAATGAAGAGTGGTGGTAGTGACGACGGTGGTGGTGGTGGTGGTGGTGGTGGCAAGTGAAGTATTGAATTAATTGGAGGGCTTGTTGAAGAATCATGTGAAATATTATCATCCTATAGAAAGCATAAGATTTGAAATTCTTTCTATTAGTTTATTTTTCATACCAAATGAATTCCACTATCGTATTGCTTGTGATCATCTTTATCTAATGAATATTGCACATCTAGTTTCTGTTGATTTTTTTTTAACCGAGCTCGACGATTTTGAAACCAAATCTAAGCAAAAACAAAAACGAGATAATAAATTTAATGTTTATTTTTCTATTACCGTTATTTTTTGTGTTGGTAAATTCAGTTGTTCAACTAGATCATCAATAATATCAACTGTTGGATAACGATGTCGTTCAAAAGCACATTCGAGTACATTTAGCTGATTGGTTTTATGTTTAAGATTTTGCAAGAGATAAAAATATACTTTTCAAATAAGTTTTTCAGTTTACCTGTTCTGAATTAAATTTTGTTCGTACACGTTTTTTATACATGATGGGCCTTGATATTGGTTCATTTTCATTTTCATTTTCATTTTGTTCATAATCTGTATTTGATGATTGTGTTAAAGAGACATCGCCATTATAATTTTCTTGCATAAATTGATTCGAATCTATGTAGTTTAAAAAACATGAGTTGGTTAAGACAGAAATATTTTCAATTTTGAATCTTACGATTATTTGAATATGGTGAAAATGAGAAATCATTCGTTATATGTTGTTGCATCATTTCACAAAAGAGATTTTGTGGTATATTTTTACTCGGTCTATTATCAATCTGGTCCATGATTTCAATCTAAGATGTTGTTACTTTTCAGACAGTATCCATCGAGAAAATAACGAACAATAGACAGATATATAAACAAACATATAGCTAGAGAAAATAAAATGTACTTTAGTCATTCTTTGCCTTTCCATATGTATTCTATATATAAAGTGTATGCATACAAAAACAAAAGGAGGATTCGTAAACAAATAGAAAACTATCTATTTTCTAGTTATAAGAAACGTTTCTAAATGAATGATTTAGATGAATTTCAAAATCTCTTTTATTGAAAAAGATCTTTTAGTATGTTTTCAAAGAATAAAAATAAAATGAAACTCATTAAATAAGTTATTTTTAGAGATCTTTCTTATCTTTATAATATTGTATACCACTTAAAATTCTACTGTTGTTCAGTAATGATTTATTCACAGATCAAATTTCTTTGTTCTTCTAATGATCGAATAGAAAAAGGAATTCATTAAATAAAAGAACAATGCTTCTATCAATTCAGTTTTTCTTGATATGGTTGATTATTATTGTGCTTAGTAAATCTAATCATAATATTTATTGCTCCAATGGTAGACCAGCTTTGTGGACGTTTAGCATGTCTAATTTTAGCTTTTCACCACAATGTCCTACACCTGGTCGAGCATGTCACGATAAAAAAGGCAAATGTACGAAAGAATACTTATGTTGTCCGCAAACATTGAAGTAAGAGAAAATTTTAATCGTTGATTATTGTCCGTTTTTAACATTCGTTTATATATATATATATATATATATTAAATAGAATGTCATCAAAACTTGCATTATATGATCGAGCAACGAATATTAAATTTATTCGTATTGGTAGTGATTATAAAAATACCTATCGTTTTTATGAATTAAACTTAACATCAAATAATCATGCAACACATGATAATTATGCACAATGGGTTTTCTTTGATCAAACATTACGAGATTTGTTTGAAATGCCAAATGCTAGATTTTGGCAGTCAATTGTAAATTGCCTACAAAATTATGGTATCGCATATGCATATGTTCCTCTTAATGCAACATCAGTTACAGCTAATATTAGTGCATTGACAGTATTAACAAGACAGAAAAGTTCATTCGACAATCTCTACATATGTTACATGGTCACAAGAAAAGAACATCGTCGACGAGGTTTAGGTACACTAATTTTACAACAAATTGTTCAACGTGCGTTAGACGAACAACGTAACGGTATAAAACACGTGACGCTACATGTCAATACATTAAATACAGTTGCACTTGAACTTTATGAAAGATGTGGATGGCGATGTTATCAGTATCTACCGACATATCTTGACCCTGACCCACATCATGCAACAAATCATGCATATGCATTAATACTTCATTTAGAGAAAGTAAAGAATGTCACCGGCCTATGTCGAGACACAAATGCTGTAGACATCAATCCGCAAGACGATAGAAAAAGCATAGAAAACTGTCACCGTGTGCCTGCTCAGCTTCGAGAATGAAATGTAACAAAAATAACAAGAAGAAAATAATACCGTACATTTTGTTGTCTGTAAATAGAAACAAAAATCTAGTTTTTTTTTTCATTTTTTGTTAGTCGTTAATCAAACATAATATAGAAATCTGAAATAAAAAGTCAATGTTGCTTTTTAATTGGCAATATAAACGATAGAAAAGTCTATTGACAGGACAGAAAAAGAAAAACGACTGTTTAGTTGTATTTTTGTTTAATTAGAAAACTATAAATACTTCAATCAGTTGCTAAGTCTTTCTATATATGACAAATTTTCGTGTCCAACATTCATTGAAAATAAATGAATTCGATTAAAACTCTCGGTAAAAGTAATATACTTGAAAATCGATTACGTACTTCTCAACAATCTAATGAATTTTGTATGCGGTCGAATAATCTACGTAATTGGAAATCGGTTTCAAATATATTCTCAAAGAAAAAGCTAACATCACTTGATGAAATTAAATGTCATCTACGAAAATATTTTATCAATCATATGTCAATTGTTCATCAACATTGTAAAAAAAATACTTTTATCGATAAACCAACATTTCAATTGATGTTACGCAAGTAATTCATTTAAAATATTAAAGAATTAACCTATATTATCCTTTTCATATAATTCTAGTTCAGGTATTTTAATTAATAATATATACCTTGAATCTTTATGGAATTCTTGTCAACCATCTCTGCAAGGTATCTCGTATGAAGTATTTCTTCAAGAATTTGTACCATGTCAATCAGAAAATAATCAAAGTAATAAAGCTTGTTAGCGCAGCCTCTTTGGGGCTAAAATATGGAACTGGAACTCACATATATCCCTTCGGCTTACTAAAATAATTCAAAATAGTTCACCTGAAAAATCTACCCTGATTTTCAAACCTATAATTAGGTCATTGCCTATTTTGCTTATGTCTGTAATCGAATATGAATTGTTAGCTCGTATATTCAACAATGACAGATACTAGTTTCTATAGTCTGTAATGGTACCGTAAACTAGTTACTATGGTCTGTAATGGGCAAACATTCCTTTTTTCATGTAGTCTGTAATCAAGAAAGGAAGAAATAGCAGCCTAATTAGTCAAGCTCCTAATTAGCACAATTTAAAACTCATTAATGTCTGTAATGGGGAGGGGGGCGTGGGGAGCCGCAAAAATCTTGCTTTTAAACTTACACTCACCATTTTCTTCGAAAATATATGTGAGTTCCACAAAACAAGTTTTTATTAACACTTCATTGTATAATTATGTTTTATTTTTCTAGGCACGATCGCTTCTTCCAAAGATAATTTGTTATCGTCGAAGCAGTGTCAAATATTAAATTACATAGCCCTTGTTACTCACGCAGTTAAAACATATTGGGAAAATTTAAAAGTTGAATTTTGGTAAGTCAAATTTTTATTTCAAAAACTAAAAGATTTTCTATTGATATAGTTGTCTTGATCCATATGGTCGATTATCTATTGCAATTGATCAAGCTATTGTATGTATTATTTAAGGATATATGTTTCTTGGCAAATGTTTTTGTTTTGTTTTCTCTTGTATAGAAAATAATGAAAAAGTACTGTTTCCCTTTGAATGATAATCAACAACGTAATCTTGCTGTATTGTTTTCAACGAAAAATAATGGACAATTTAATTATTTTGATTTTATGCAACATTTTTCTAATACATCATCATTAAAAAGTATTAATCAGAATAGTTTTTCTCGCTCAACATATACTATTCAATCAAAAGTAAGAAAAATAAAGTAAAGTGTTTAGGTTCGTTTTCATATGTTTACATTTTTTAAGCAATGTTGGACGTGTTTACCATTGACAATCAATTGTCTTATTAAACGAATTCGTTCTCAAGTAAATCAAAATATAAAAATTGTCGATGTGATATTTACTATTTTTATTTCTATTTTGTTTGATTTAGTGCATACATTATTATGGGAATATTTATCGAATGTTTAAAGTAATCGATAAAAATCGACAAGGATATTTAGGCAAAAGTGATTTTAAGCGTATACTTAAACAATTCAAGATTCATCTTGATGCAGAAGAATTCTATCATGTTCTATCAGAAATAGATCAAAATCAAGACGGAGTTATTTCTTATGAGGAACTCTACGATGCATTAATTATTGATGCTTTACTAATTTGATTTTATAAAAAAATTCAGAATATAACAGTGTAAAAAGTATTTTTGTGTTCATGATTTTTAAGGTAAGGAATAAAATGTAGTGAATAGAATGCTGAATGTAAGTTAATCACGAAGCACTTGCCAAAATGATTTTTTTTTTGTTATTTCTCTCCATCATAATTTTATAAGATTAATAAAGTAATGGTGCCATATGATCATTAGTATGGTTTCTACAGTCATTATTGGAGAAATTCAATTACATATAAAGAGAATCAGCAACTTACAATTAAAATTGTTTGTAGCAAATACAAGGCTAGACGGTAGAAATGTGTTTATTTTACTTTGAAGTCATCATCATACATTTTTTTGTGGTTTAAAATTGAAAATTTAAAAAAGCAACACAATCAGTAAATTTTATCATCAAAATTCAAAAAGAAACAATGGCAAAAACTCAGCAGCTCAAACATGAAAACAGCTAGCAACCTGCAAAATTTAATAATTGAAAAATAAAAATTTCAGATTTCTTTCTGGCTCGAATTAAACAGAAAAAAAACTGATAAAAAGAACTCGAATATTATCGTAAAATATTCAATGAGTATCCTATTCCATTAAAATGTTATTTTGATTTTGGCATTTATTGCAGATCTTTAGCTTAGAATTAGGCTCAGATGATCATTTTCTCAGATCTTAATAGTCAACCAGCCAAGATGAATCAATATTTAGTAAAATTATTTTTAGCTCTGATGATTTTTAACACATGGAACATCATTTTAATACACGTCTTTTTAAACGTTTTCGAAAAGTATGAGACAAATAAATATCTGAGTTTCTTCTCTACTGATAACTGAAAATGGCGGATCTTTGGTTGTTGCATTGTCCTTTTCTATAAAAAAAATAAAAAAAATTTAATCCTTTCATTTTATTTACCTCGAATGTTCATTTTGAATGAAATATTACTCTATAATCTAGCTTTTGAAAAAGATTAAACAACGCTGGATTATGACGGCGGAAATGTAGTCTTTGTGATTGCTAACTCATTGATATGCATTATTCCGATGGTATTTTTCTGTTATCGCTTCTATGATAATCATTTGCTATTTTTATACCGAGAAACGTTCATCATCATACTTATGTCTTGTTCATATCTCTTGTTTCGCTATTATGTCCGGAGTCAATGGTATACTACGATATGTACACTAAGAACTTTCAATAGCTTCATTATAGAAGTATTTCTTTAAATAAATTTGTCATGTTCACCGAATTTTGTTTTAGTTATATCTAGGTTATAACATTATGCGATCAACAAGATCACAGTTGTTTGTTCGTCAGGGCAGCAAGTATGATTAGCATAGTTTACTGATCATATATTGAGCTTATGATGAATGAAAAATGTTATTTCTCTTGAATGAATCAATTTTTTTTAAACAAACAACTTTTTTTTTCTTTGACAACAGTGAAATACAACAAGAAACAGACAAGTTAACTTTTGTCTAGAACATCACGATAAAACGGATAATTCTCTAAACGTTAATTATGGTTTTTGATTGATTGAAATCAACGATTACGGCCACCAAAGCTGCCACCTTCACGATTACCTCCACCGGGACCTCCTCGACCTCGTCCACGACCACGACCTCTTCCACGACCTATAATAGCATAGAAAACAAATCAACTAAGAAAAAAACAAAAAATATTTCTTCACACATACCTCTAGCGCCCATACCAGTTGGGCCTAAATTAGAAAAATAACAAAATTAGGTTTTACAATAGAATAAAAAATGTAATACAAACCAGATCGTTCACGTTTAGGTTTAGCTTTTGGTGTATCATCGACAAGTAATGTATCCAATGGGAGACTATCTGGCAAAATAAAATATCGAATATTGTTACCTGAACAAAAAGAAAAAAATAGTTTTGGTTTTAGATTTAATTTATTGAAAAAGTTTAACCTCGAATAGTAATGAAATCGAATGAAATGGGATCACCATTTTTTGGTGTTAATTTAGCCGATTTCAAATGTGTATTCATTGACATATCGACGCCGATAACTGTACCAAAAACATTTGAACCATTTTTAAGTGCAATTGTAACACTTTCATGAGTTAATTTCATAAGAAACCGAACAAGCTTCATCGTTATATTACTACCGTTTCTTTCTAATTACAAAGAAGGAAAAAGATCTAAAAAACAAATGTTGTGAAAGATTGAGTCTTTGTCAAACAAACGAATAAATACACTTGCTTACAATGGTTGGTGGAAAGTCTACAAATCTGATTCGCCTTTTATTTCACCTCTATCTCTGTATATCGGTTTACAGTAAACAAAGCGCCATCTATACAAGAAATGAGAAAAGTACACAAAAAGAATTGCAAATTTTTAATAATCTTTTTTTTATGTACAATCACTATTTGAATCATTTTCTTTCGAAAAATTCTATCCTATTATATCAATACGTGTTTATATTGATTGAAGGTCTTTGCACTCGCCTTTCGTTACCTTAATGCTCACTCACTCATTTATCGATATAATCATCAGCCTTGTTTCAGATATTTAAACTATGGCCGAACAAGAACAAGCTGAACTTAACAATACTAGTGAAACTGAAGCAACTGTTAGTGAAACAACGAAATCAAAAGAGAAAAATTCAAAAGAAAAAGTTGCAGCTGCAACTGACTCAACGATTGATGTAATCGATGGAAATAGTGCAACTGCTGGTCAAAATATTAATAATAATGTAGGAGAAAAATTTTGTAAACATATCTATCATAATATCTTGAGAATAGGCACGTTCAGTAGAATCTGTTCAAGATCTATTAAAGAAAATAGTTTTAGCTGAACAAGCTTCGTCTGTATCAAATAATCGAAGTGCACCTAAATCAGATCAAGAAGCTGCATCAAGACAAGAATGGAAATTTTGGCATACACAACCAGTACCAAGTATTGGAAAAAAAGTTGCGTCGGAAAATAATGGACCTGTAGAAGAAAATAAACCTATTGAAGAATTAAAGCAAGAACCATACAAATTACCTGATGGATTTACATGGGATGAAATTGATATTCTTGATGATGAACAAGTAAAACACTATCAACTATTTGATAAAAAATACTTATTTAACTAAATGTTCTGTTTTATCTTTAGTTAAAGGAATTATACGTTCTCCTAAACGAAAACTATGTTGAAGATGATGATAATATGTTTCGTTTTGATTATTCAATGCAATTCTTACGATGGTAATCTTATTGAAATTTATGAGAATCGTTATCGAAATAGATATATTTTCGATTTTAGGGCGTTATGTGCACCAGGGTGGATTAGGAAATGGCATGCAGCTGTACGTGTAACAAAAAGTCGTAAAATGGTCGGTTTTATAAGTGCTGTACCAATTAAAATGAAAGCTTATGAAAAGTAAAATATTTTTATAATTTATCTAAAATAATTCAAATTTAGCCGCTCGCTTCTGTTTTTATTTAGTTAAATATGAATGTTTTAAAAATAGTTGATACGATTTGTCATGGATAGAATTCCTTTTTTTTTGCGAGTCTTATCTTAGCTTTTTGTCGTACCTATCAACAATGAAGATATATATATGTGATTAAGTCAATTTTTTTAATGTTTCGATTTGCTTTTTCAAACATTCCAATAATATATAAATCTAATTTAATAGACGCAATGAATTTTGTTTATTTTTTTGTATTTATTAAAATGATAGATGTTCGAATGAGTAATGTTTGCAAGTCTAATATTATTTCTTACTCTATTAGATTTGTCCAACTACCATAACAGCTGGATCAATTAGATAGAGTGACAGAATTCTCAAGAAAAAATGGGAATGTATTATTTAATAATTAATTCTATTGCGTTGTTCGATTTAAAGCTATCGTAATCTACACTGCTTCGAGTTAGAAACTTTTTCGATTATGTACATATGAAGTAGATAAGATATTCGTTTAAATATTCATGACAGAATATACCTAAACAAAAATAAATATCTAGAGAAACCATATTTAAAATATGTAACCAATGTTTTTGTATAATCGAAAAAAATAATGTCAACGTAACAGTAGAGTTTATCAGTTCTATTATATGTATATTTATTAATTTTTATATTTGATCTTCGTTTCAAGGATAGTTCCAATGGTTGAAATCAACTTTTTGTGTGTTCACAAAAGATTACGTTTAAAACGTATGGCACCTGTTCTAATCAAAGAAATAACTCGACGCGTTAATTTGGAAGGTATCTTTCAAGCTGTTTACACAGCTGGTGTTGTACTGCCAGGTATTGTCAGCAAATGTAGGTGAGTACATTGAAACGAATATTTCTGTCTTTTTTTAATAATAAAGATGCATTTATATTACAATTATAATAGATACTGGCATCGATCGCTCAATGTCAAAAAGTTAATAGCTGTTAAATTTTCTCATTTGGGTAGAAACATGACGTTGCAACGAATGCAAAAGCTCTATAGATTACCAGAAGTAAAGATTTTAATTTCTATTTTATATATTATATCTATTTTATTGTTCAATAGCAAACACATGTTAAAGGTTTTCGTGAAATGCGTGAAGCTGATGTACCAAAAGCATTTGCTCTGCTTACTCAAGTAAATCAATTGAATATTTTTCCATGAGAAAAAAAGTCATTTTGTTTTAGTATTTATCAAAATTTGATTTAGCACCGATATTTACGCAAGAAGAATTTGAATATCTATGCCAAAGTCGTCCAAATATTGTTAGCTCATTTGTTGTCGAAGTAAATATAGAACTAAAACCAAAATGCATAAAATTTATTTCTGTTCTATTTAAAGCAAGAAGATGGCGAAATAACAGATTTTATTTCTTATTACCATTTATCATCAACGATTATGAATCATCCCCAATATAAAACACTAAATGCATGCTATATGTATTATCATGCGGCAAGTCGTACACCACTTACTGATCTCGTTAATGATTGTCTCATACAAGCACATAATGTAAGAGAGATTTCATCTGTATTTGGCATTTTCGTTTATTTTTCTTTTCATTTGAAGAATGATTTCGACGTTTTCAATGCTCTCGATCTGATGGATAATAAAGACTTTTTAGAAAAACTTAAATTTGGTGTTGGCGATGGAAATCTTCAATATTATATTTACAATTGGCAATGTCCACAAATGAATCCAGAAAAGGTTTTTGTTTTAGAAGAATATATTGATTTTAAATTAATTTTAATTTTTTTTAGGTGGCATTGTTACTTCAATAATAAGTCTATAAAAACAGCAACACTTATTCAATTATGTGATTTTGTTTTTTTTTATTTCTTTTTCTTTTTAACGCACGTATACAAACAAGAAAAGATCCGTATAAAAAGAAAAACACATTAGATAATCTTTTGAATACTTATATGGTTTTCTTTTCTTTTCTTTTTGTTTCAATTGGATTATTTGATACATTGACGGATTGATGAATAGTATTGAGATTTAGACTTTTTTTAACGATTTAATCGTTAACATTCATTGCTAAAACTTTTAAATGATGCATAACAGTTTGTTACTCATTCATTTTTTTTATCACGTTTGAAGTAGTTTCATTAATAATATTGATTCTATGTTCAAGCATGTAGGCCAATCTAGGAAAGAAGAAGATTTTCAATTTAAAATAAGCTTTATTCTCAGATAGAATAATATGAACTATGAATGTTCTCTTGATTTTTGAATTTTATTTGAATGCCACTTTTTTCCTTGAATAACGATCGATGACATAATATGTGCCTGTGACTGGTGCACGTATTTTGATAGCTACTTTTATAATTGAAGATTTATCAAAAATTATTTTACTCCGAGAAAAATAAATATACTAGAAACATCAAGTTTAAGATAATAAAAATCATCGATTTTTATTTCCTAATTCATCTTCTGTATTGGATCTGGTTTCTTAATAATCGTGTACAATTTTCTGTTTTATTTTATTTTATTATCGATGACCTAAACATTAGATAATTCAAGTAAAAACTTTTGAACAATTGTTTTCAATCAATTTTCTTCCTCTTCTTCTAATAATAAAGATTTTTAGTAATTAGCAATGCTTTTCAGTCAAAGTTTTACAAACAATAATATCATCATTTCACTGAGCGCAATCAATTCTTATGAACACATAAGATTTATTTCACTTGAAAATATTCTATATATAAATCATTTAAACAGTCTTGTTGAATTCCATTCAATTCGATCTTAATCGAATGAAATTACGACATAAATAGATTTTTTCACCAGTCGCAAACGGCATTCAACATATTAATACAGAAATTCTGTGTTTCAAAAAGTGTATATCGCAAAGAAACAAAATGTAACAAAGATCATAACATATTTATGTCTTATATTATACTCTTGATGAAATCTTTCTGTTAACCTCTAAAGATAGATTGTGCAAGTTTGTTTATTTATTAATTTTTAAATAATATTTCAACAAAAATCGACGGATTTCATTCGCATCGTCGAAGTATTAATAAACATCAATTTGTTTGCTGTGGAACCGTTAATAATGAAACAGAAAAAGATAATAATAATAATAAATTGAAAAGACATGTTAGTGAATATAATGATTTTCAGAAGTAAACCATTCAAATTGTGGAAGCTACAATAGAAGAAAACCATGATTAAATGATGCAAACTTTTCTTTTTTTTCTCCAATTACTTGTTCTACTGGCTCTACTGATGCTTTTTTAATCATCTAAACGAACAAAACATTATTCTGTATATTTAAGAAAAAGATGAATAAAATTTACTTTTTCAAAAAACGAATTCAATTTAGTTACATTAGGCGTATCAACTGAAAATCGTTTATTTGAATAACAATTCTATAAAATGGGTAGAAAAATAGTTTGTTCTTCAAGAATAGAAATATTATTTTTTTGTTTTTACAATAAATATTTCATCACAGTTAAATAAATTGGCTAGTACTGATTTACGATTAAAATTTGGTAACAGACTACTTGATGAAGATGTATGATTATTATTCATCACATTTGGGGATTTACTATTGTCTAGTAATGATACTCCATTGGATTCATCGAGTTTTGTATGAACTAATAGAATTGGTATATCGAAATTTTGTAATACATCTGGTGTAAATTCTGTTGGACTAAAACATAGACTATCTTTATAAAAAAAGCAAAGGTAAATGTTTATTTTACAGTTTTTGTCGTGAACGATAACGAATAACTTCATAAAGCCATTCTTTAAGATTATCATAAGATTGATGGCTAGTTAAATCAGATACCAGTATAATACCTGTAAAAAAATTAAGAATCTACATCAGAACTTTCAAAAAGAAACAGTAGCTATTTCTCTGCTTTTACCATTAAATTCATCATAAAACATAGATGATCGACTATTTTTATGCTGTACACTGCCGCCCACATCATGGAATTCAATAAAATAGAGATTCGGATTATGATGTCGATCTCGTCTTTCATACAACTAGAGTGAAACAAAATTATTAAGTTAAATAGGATTACTCAAAGAAACATTTTTAGAATTAATCAGCATCCACAAACACAGTTACTATCATTTTTTTAAATATATTTTAAATATTCAATCATGATATTTTACATAAGAGAATTATGAAGTTCAAATTTCTTACAATGAATATCGTAAGGTTTTACTTGAAGAAAAAATCGCTATGAAATCTTTCGTCAAGAAAAAATACACTACAAAAAACTTACGCAGAACATCTCTAACAAAGAAAAACAACTTCTGATAACAGTTGAACCCCTTTATAATTACTTTTCCATACACTCGAATGATTTCAATTTCGCCTGGTAACGATAAAAATTGTTTTTTTTTCACTGATACTAGCAATGCCATTTAGTATATTTTTTTCTGTACGTATATAAACATATATAGTATCTTGTTAAAAGCAATTGACTTCAAAAATCCGATAATTTGAAATTATATAATAAACAGGAATAATTATCGAACCTTGATCTCAATATGACAACCAACGGTGACAGGTGGTGGTGTTGACAATGGCTGATCATGACAGACCATATGCACAAATGAAGTTTTGCCCACACCTGTCATTCATAAGAATCGATATTAAATCATGTAAATCAACAGAAAAACTCTTACTAGAATCGCCCAACACAAGTACCTACATTCATATGTAGATAAATTCAATAAAATAAGTAAATAAATAAATACACACAATAGAAACTTACAACTAGTGTTGGAATATCCCCATTGGTTCCCATTGGGTAGTCTATCTGAAGTATTATTAGTCTTTAAAAAAAAAAACGATAATATTCCATTCTCAAACAAATTTTGAATATACTTATTAAAAAGAAAGCAAGAAAAATTCTAATGTTCATTCAGTACAAAAAAAGAAAGAAAAGGAAAGGAAAGAACTATCTGACAATGTACAATGAACAGAACTATATCTTCCACAATGTTTGTGCTTGATTGAGACTATTCATTGAGAATGCCGTAGCTTGTTTGGGTTTCATTTTAATTGGTTTTAATGGTTTTAAATTAATACGTGTTGTTTGTTTAATCATTGTTGTTTCATCAAATAATTCCATGATATCAGGTTTAATACGTTTTCTCTGTAATGCTTGATATTCTTCCTAAAGTGAAAAATGAAGTTTAGTTTAAAAAAAACCAAAAGACAAAGAAACTTTACTAGAAATTTTGCTGCTTGTTTTCGTTTTTGTAATTCTTGTTGTTCAGCTGCTGCAATAATTTCTTCAGTATTTGGTTCAAGATCAATAAGACCCTTATAAATCCGTTCATTTGAATAATTTAATTTTTTATTTGCCTACAAATACGTGGTTTTAATTCATATAAAAGATAAACAAATAATGTCAACTACCTGTTCATTTACATGGTCAATATGTGTTACTGTTAAAACAGGATCAAATTGTTCAAATTTTAAATTCTCCATTTGATCAATTATTTTCATTGTTGAATTATAGGCTGGCGCAGCAAGATCAACTAATGATTTAGCTTTATTGATATTCAAATCATCATATGATCGACTAGTGATACAACTTTGCGACGATCGAGTTTCTTTCCCTGTAGGCTTTTTTACTAATTTATGCACTTGTTGTGCTGATTGGGTACGAAAAAGCGGCTGTCTACGTGGTACACCATCTTCCATTTCCATGCTCTGTTAATTATTTATTTTTATTCTATTCGATCTAGAAGGCTTTAAAATGATTAAGATGTCAGATAGAAGTTTTCACTTTTCTTGTTTTGAACTTTCGCAATAAATCGAATAAATAAAAATGAAAGATCATTGGGATCATATGTAGCACATGAATGAACAGGAAAAAAAACAAGCAAACAGGTAAACAAACAACGTTGTATATATATATCATATTTTCAAACTGTTCGACTTTTTTTATCGTGGATCCAATTATCGATCTGTTCTTTGAGTTGCGCAGCTAAAAGAATACAAATCAAATAAAAATAGTTTTTCTTAAACTATATTTAAAAGAATTCTTACCAGGTATGAGTTGTTCAATCGTTAGTGGAAGACGATTAAATGGGTCTGTACTTGAATTGAGCAAATGTTTAATGATTACTGAGCGATCCATAATAACTCCGCTTGGTAAAATAACTGGATCGGTCATAACTGTACACATTAATGGATCTAATACAACGAGAAAATGTTGTCAGTAGAAAGCAAAGAAAGAAAAAAGGATGATGTAATATTTTGATAAAATACAATGTCTGTACATAGAATTATATGTGAACTTTTATAACCATCTATCTTGACTAGACTGTAGCCTGTTGTTTCATTCAGAGTTTTCTTCTTCTTTTGTATTGAACAAGTCAAAACGATCTACAAGAGAGTGTGGCTTTCATGCTGCATAGAATACTAGCTATAGCTCTAATGCAATCGGATGGCCCATGAAAGTATACATAGAGTTCAATAAGATCTTGTACCTATCACTCTTCTACATGTAATTCTAAACTTCCATAAAGATCAATGATTCTTTGTGTTCCCGAAGTTTTTATGAAGAAAAAGCAAATTGAAGTCCGCTCATCGAATTATATTAATACTAATTTACCACGAAATTCGTCGGGTGCATCGGAGAGATCCATTTCTTCTTTAGATTTTTCTTCGGCTATGCGTTCAGCAATTTGACTTAAATTATAAAGTACTTCAAGACGTGATGACGTTGTTATGTGACGATTTTGTATACGTTCGATAGCCGATTTAAATAAAGTTGGTCGATAAGAACGCTTAAAAATAAAATAAGAAATAAATAGAGTAAGCTCATAAAAATGATTCCATACTTCATCTCGTGTAATTGCCTCGGCAAAGCGTTCGTCAGGTGCCTATTTAGAGCAAAAATAAAACATTGGTTTGAATCTATGTGAGAATTTTCTTTACCAAATTACAATAAAGTTCTACAATTTTTTCTAACAGTCGTTTCGGATCGAAACAACATTTACTCGGTTCTTTAACTTTAAGTAAACGTGAATTAGGACCAGATAATTCATGTAAATTAAAATCTAGTACAGCTGCTAAACGATCGATTAATTCCTAAAAATATTTTTTAAAACTTAAAAATAATACTTTTTGACTAAGTAATTTATTTTACCGATGAACAAAATGGACCTGGTTCGTTTGCACTTAAATATTCGAGCATATTCAATGTTTCCATACCAAGTGGTAAATATGTACAACACTGTGATTCATATTGACTCAATTGCTGTGTTTTAGTCATACGTGTTTCCTATTGAAAAATAACGTATTTAATTGTTAAAAAAAAACTGAAAATATGTGCTCTTTTATTCTGTTATATAGTACCATTGGAGTTGCTTCCCATTCATCTTTATTATCAATATCTGTTTCAATATCATGAATTTTCTTTAATAATTGTAAACTTTCATCAAGTAAATACGTAACATCATTTATGGCCATATTTAAAAAACGAATAAATTCTTTTTCATCTCTATAGAAATACTTATAAAATTAAATTGATTATTTTATAGGCTTGTTTTTACCTTGCTGTTGTTAGAAATGAATGACGAAATGATGGCTTTTGCCAAGCATATTTAAAAATGATACTTATATGATAGCGTATATTAAATTTGTCATAGAATTCAGTTGCAGCACCGGTGGTTTCAACATCTATAGATTAAAAGAAAAAGGACATCTATGAATTGATGGAATAGATAATAATATTATTCTATACCAGCATAAAGTTTTGTTAATGCACGTACAAGTGAATCTTGTGCTAGTTCATGATTGAATAAATATTCTGTTGCTCTACGTAATAATGTATGTTCACTTCTGGCGCATAACCAATGTATAACTTCGACTGCTTTTGCAATTAAATGTGGATTTTGTATATAGTGACGTGGTGCACAAATGACAACAAGCATCAAGGTTAAAATATCATCTATGTTACGTTTCGATAGTGTTTGAGGCACCATCCTAGAATAATACAATGAATATATATAATTCATAATTAGAATTCTGCATACATGGCGGCTGACATAAGGAAATCCCATATATCGTCTATATAATAATCTGGTAATAAACGCCATATCCATGGTGCTTCAGACGAAAAAGTAGCTTTTAATCTTAAGATAGAAAAAAAGAAAAAAACATTTGTCAATGATAAAGATAGCCTAAAATCTATAAATGAAAACGTACTCTGCTGGTCGAATACCAACATATCGTAAAAGTAATTGTGAAACTTTTCCATAAAATTCTAAACTTGTTTCAATAAGATTTTCATCTTGCAATGCTATACTAGCACATTGTTTAGCTCGCTTCAATGCCTAGAATACAAAAATAGTAACATTTATTTTTCTTTTCTTATCTAAATAGCAATTAAAACGATTAATGTAGATTCGTCGATGATTATAACAATAGATAAAAGGACAACAACAAATAGTAAGAGTAGACAATGAGCAACAAAATCACTAAAGTGTAACGGACAAGCATGCATATACACTTTTATTTAGGAGACACAAGCCATCATTATTACATTGCATTCGATACGCGCGACTGCGGACAAACATTTATTTTCTCTTTACTCTTGATGTATATAGTTTAGTGGTTACACAAGAGGATACAACAAAATACCGAGATATTATAACAAAAAATCGAAAACATTCAGTGAACAATGAGTGAAACTCAATATAATTATCATGGCAATGCTGCGAACTACATAAACGACGGGCAGCGATACGCAACTTCTTGTACGTAAAATTATAATTATTCGCTAGTTACACACTATACATGACTTCTACAATTACATTTTTGTTACGGCTTAACAATAGAAATTGAAGTCATTCAATATACTTCGTTTTTTTTTCTATTAAAAGCAAACGTGAAATTTTACATGTATTTAAGCGTGTCTTGTTATTTTAGCTCAAGGTGGAGTTGATGGTACTAGCACTCGTTTGACAGATAATCAACAACAACAACAATGGATTGCATCTCAATCAGCTTCATCTAATTCAATGGCAACATCTAGTGCACCTAAAAACCGGGCATTAGGGGGTGTACAAACAACCGATTCATTTCATTCTGTTTCTAGTATTGATTCATCAGCAGAAATGTCCAAGTATTTTCCTGATGCTCAAACCCCTAGTTTGTCGCCATTTAGGTAGAGTAAGAAAAACTTCATTAACATTAAAATAACAATTTGTCAGATCTATTGATTCGTTCAGTTTCTTTCCTTCTCTAATGAGCAGCACACATCTTGCGCAACATATTCGACGTTAGAATGGACATAACTGATTGCTTGAAGGGTGTTCAGTATCGATTTATTTCGTCTTACTCTGATGGGCACAACTACATTCTCGTGATTGAAAGAAATGTAAAATGAGGCAAAAAGAAATATTTGTTAATGGACCATTTTTTTCAGGGTTAAACTATACATAAAATGAACTAATCGACGGCATCTTTTTTGCTCCTTCCGTATTCGTGTGTGTCCTTTGAGCGTCTTTTTTTTCAATTTCATTCGCTCGAGTTAGTTATTCGATTCACGCATTTTTCATCACAGGCATCAGCAAGTTGTCGAAGGTCAGGCACAATCAACGGCTACATCGAATACTGTAGCCAGCACGAATACAAATACAAATACTGTTAATGCGGGTCCTTATACACCTGCGACAGCTTCCACTGCAGTACAACGAGTACCACAACCCATAAGGCCACCTAATATGGCACAACAACGACCAGTACAACCACCAGGCATTCCAAGTTATTCGTCACAAATTGAAGGATTATCAGTTTCACAAGCTGTAGTAAATGATGTACTTATTGATCTCCAAACGAAAGTAATAAATGAAACTTTACAACAATATCATGACGATTCAACAAGTGGTGCATATATGGGTAAGCTCTTTTTTTCTTTCTTTTTTTCCCGAAATACGTTTGTATACACATGAAATATATATTAATGTAAATGTTTAGAACCTCTTGCTCCAATTTATATTCGTGCACCGCAACCGACAATAATTCTTCAATCCGATCTTCATCGTCTGCGTGCAGAACTTGGTAATCGTGTTCGCCCTCCAGGTAAGATATAGAAGATCTACCATTTAAATCGTAAATTACGAAGAAAAAAATGTTTTGTTCTATTTTTAGTTATCCATCGTCATCCAACAGGTGGAAACCAATTTCAACAAAATATGTTTCAAGTACCTAGATTCCCAGCGCCTCCACAACAACACATTCCACCAGGTACTATATCACTTCGTTAAAAATATAATGATTCAGTGTTTTCTTAAACATTCTTTTCATTTTTTTTCTCATTTTCAGAGTGTTATGGAGATTATCGAAATGCCGCCTATGCAAACAGGTAGTTTTGCACATTCAAATACACACATGCACACCTACACACCCACACACACATACACGCACACGTATATTAAACGTGCACAAAAACAGACATTCGATGATTACACTTATGCGCTGTGCTGAACTTCACCCAACAAGCTACATTTTTTTTTATCTAGCTCTTGCTTTTTCTTTCTTTCACTCTCTAAAAATGCTTTTTTTTTGCTGCTAAATACACATATATACACTTGCTATTATGCTATATCCTTCACTGTCAAAATTTTACACATCCAAATAAATTAGTAGTCTACGCATAGATGCTCACGCTCTGAAGAAAGCCTTCATAACGACGTTAAAAAGGCTACATCGAAGCTTGTCTTTTTTCTTTTCTTTCGCATTTATAAATCTTTTCGATATCTCATTGATTTTTGTTCAGTGATGAATATAAGACGACGACGACGACGACGACAGGCGATGAGTATAGGAAGGAAAATGATGAGCGATTGTATAATCAAGCCGAGTCAGCTATACTCAATAATGTCAATATCAATGGTAATGTTCAGAGCGCATTCAATCGTCAAGGCTTATCCACTACATCATTTGATCGTCACGGCTCACCTTCTCAATCTTCCTCATCACTTTCCAATCTCGAAGAACAGCAACAAGGTAACGAGCAGGCTTTACTTGCATCATCTCAAAATATCAACAGTGAACAAGTTGGCTCAATGGATAATAATATGTTCTCAATGCCTGGCCGTCCACGTCAAGAAATAACATTTGATATCGATAATTGTATATATCGATGTTTTGAAGCTCATCGTCAACGAGTAGCTCGACGACGAGCTGCCCGACAAGCCCGTAAATCAAGACGCCATCGACAAGCCACACAACAGCCACAACAATCTCAACAATTACACTATACTAATCAATACCCAAATTTTACGGCACACCCAATACATTCTACAGGTGGCACTATTGAACAAACTCAATGGCAACAACCACTGTCAACCACAGATTATTCGGATATAATTAATCAACCAGCTAACAATTTTACATCAGTTCATACAACTCAAGGGCCATATAATCCGGCTGGAACAGCAGTTCATACAACTCAAGGACCATATAACCCGGCCGGAACATATGATTATACAAATCTGGTTCAAACAACGTCGTTACCCACTGATATACAGTCTTCAGCAACAGATTATTATCCATACACAACTAAGAATATACAAGAACCATACATTCATTCAAATGCATATGACTATACATCTCATCAATCAGTACCACAACAACAAACATCTTTTGAATATGCAAATCAATTGCCATATTCTTCTTCGTCGACAGATGCCTCAATTCCAAGTGACACGCAATATTTATCCTCAAACTATTACCAAGAACATAAACAACAATTACCTACTCAATTTACTCGAAACCAAGACGTATATACTCAACCCTCAACAACATTTGAACATGCCACAGGAACAAATCTAGCTCAAGTGCCAACAACCTATGATTATCAGGACATAAATCAGTCACCAAATCAATATACAGACAATCCTGAAAATATACAACAGCAACCATCATTAAATTATGCTATGACAACTCCCACAACCTATAATCAAGGAACATTTGATTACACAACAGCACGTACACAATCTCAATATCCATATGATATCGAGAATCTCAACCAACAGCAACCCTATGATTATACAACAAGTACAGCAGCTGGCACTTTACCATTTAGAACGAATCTTCAGCACACACAGCCAAAAGAAACCATCGATTATTTAAATCAAGCAGGTACATCTGCTAGTTACTACGAACAACAATCAATACCTGCTCCCCTATATCAAGGTCAAGGATCTTATGGTAAACCCACCGGAACATTTGAATATACGAGAGAAAGTTACGAATCTCAGAAACCTATTTATGATTACCAAGGTGCAGAACAACAGTCGTCTCAATATTCATATAATGTTGAAGATATTCAACAACAACCTCAGCAACAAGACACATTTAATTATGTATCTGAAGTTCCAACATCTTACACAAGGTCTAGCACTGATCTTCAGCAGAAAGGACAAACACAAGTGGTAGAACAAGTTGCTGGAACATTTGTCCCTACAACTCAGCATGAAAAGCAACCAATATCAGTTCCTGTATATCAAAGTCAAGGATCTTATGGGAAACCCACCGGAACATTTGAATATACGAGAGAAAGATATGAATCTCAGAAACCTATTTATGATTACCAAGGTGGAGAAGTGAAAACGGAACGGACACAAGCAATAAATGAATCGAGCCAAGAAATAAGTTCGTCCACTCATGAGCAAGAACAGGCAACATTTGCTCCCGTACCTGATACTTCTGATGCAGAGCTACGTTATCAAAAAGTAATTGATACATCGATTACAAATGGTACAACAGAAGATACCAAAGAACCGCTTCGTCAACAAGAACCTTTATCAGATAATTATTCTACGGAAAATTTTATTGAAGAACAAGAAAAAGCTGGAACATTAAGTGTCAATGATTATATCAAACAGTTTGAATTTAAATCACAATCACAACAAAATGGAGGACCAATACAGTCCTCTGATGAACGTCAATCTACTCGTAGTACAAAGATATCACCGTTTATTATTCAACAAAATGTTGATGTGCAACCATCACAGGAAGCTACACAAATATATGATCTTCAAAATTACATAAGTGAAAATATTACTTCAGAAACTTCACAACAATCACAAGGAGATTCATCGTTACCCACCGAAGAAGACAAACAGCGTCTTCTTCAATATATTACTCGAAGTAAACCAACAGAGGAATCATTTGAGAAAACAGAACAACAAAGTGAAAACGAAGTATATAAGTACGATACTAATACTTCATTACCACCACCACCAAGAGCAACAACAGCAACAGCAAGAGCAACCAGAGAAGGAATTGAACATCAGCAAGAGTCAACTGAAACAGGTACATCTGACTTCCCTCCGCCACCGACACTTGATCGTCAAGCATATCAAATAAAACAACCACGAACAAATCGATCAATACCTACAATCATTCCAACAACAGATCAAGCAAGTATATATACTAATAATGAACAATTAGAACCAACATCTGACGATCATGACGGTGATGAGAGTATTGCAGAAAGCGAAGAACTTTTTGATTTACACAAATGTATTGCTAAATGCTATGAAAAATATCGCCAGGAATGGGATAAAGAGGCAAAAGCACACTATGAAGAACAAATGGCAACAAACACACCACAAAATGATCAACAATTCATTCAACAGCAAAATGCATTATTCGTAGCCAATTACGATCAGCAAAACTTGCCTCAACAGCCAAATGCATTATTCGTAGCCAATTACGATCAGCAAAACTTGCCTCAACAGCCAAATACATCATTGGTAGCCAATTACGATCAGCAAAACTTGCCTCAACAGTCAAATACATTATTCGTAGCCAATTACGATCAGCAAAACTTGCCTCAACAATATTTTGGTGGAAGTGAAATACATTATCTTGATGCTTGGACACAAACACCATCTCTTGATGTAATAACACAATCGAATTTTATTGATCATACATATGATGAAACACCATCAACGTTTGATACAGAACCTTATAAATTTCAAACACCATCAGCGTTTGATACAGAACCTTATAAATTTCAAGCACCGTCAACGTTTGATACAAAACCTTATAAATTTCAAACACCATCAACGTTTGATACAAAACCTTATAAGTTTCAAACACCATCAACGTTTGATACAGAACCTTATAAATTTCAAACACCATCAACGTTTGATACAAAACCTTATAAATTTCAAACAGAAACAAGAGACCTTTCAACTGAGTCACGAGGCCAACAAACTATCGAATATAGCCCACCATTAATCACGCAAACACGTCAAGTTATTTCGACAATACCCCAATCAGAACCTTTTTCGTTTTATAAATATAATACCAACGAGCAACCACAACAACAAAAACAAGCCGTTTACGATCATACATTACCTTTACCTCCTCGTCTGTCCTTCAATGAAACCCTTCATCAACCAAATTTTGATTTTTCTTCGCAAATAACAGATCAACCGCGACAACATCAAAATATACCTTTCGATACATACGAAGAAGAAGAACAACAACAACAACGATACCGTGCACATTCTGAGCCTGCATCAATAAAACAAGATTCAATCGTAACAGTCCCATCTCAGCAACCACCACCATCATCACAAGAAATCGAATACCAACCACGACGATCTGTTTCAATACCAATGGTTCATCCAGAACAATCACAAATTCGTTTACCATCAGTTCGTTTAATCGATAATGGTCGTGCATATGAAACTGACTCGGCTTTACGCCGTCGTATGCCTATTATCGATCCTAAAACTGGACTCTGTCTTGTACCGTGTCCAGAAACACAAAAATATGCTCATTTACCATCTCATCTCCGGCCAGAATTATTCTGTATAGAGTTACCACCAGTAACTTCTCTTCCACCTCCACCTCCACCACCACCACCACCACCACCACCGCAACCGCAACCTGTTCAACAAGACCGATGGTGTGTCAAATGTTGCTGTGTTCCAGGAAAAACAATTATTAAAAAAATTGTTTACAGACAAGTGGACGGTAAGTTTAATATTTCATTTTTTATTGATAATACTATTTTTTGTATCTTCATCTTTTTTTTTTAATTTCTTTTTCAGAACAACAAAATCATGAAGAATCACAATTTGATTATGCTTCAGTTATTGATCAAATGGGAACAACAATTAGTGTCCGATACGGAAATGATATCATGGAAGACACTGGCATATGTGTTTCAGGTAAAAATTAAGAAAATAAAAATTCTTATTTTCTAATGATTAAAATCCTTTCATTTAGGTGGCTATAACGAACAATTACGTGTTATCGATTTTCCTGTCTATATATCAGGACAAAATGATTCCAATTTGACGCCCCTTGTACCCGCCAATTAAAAAGAAACTATTTTATTGCCTCTTTATCTTGTGTATATGAAATAATCAGTGACATTGATTTTTATTTCCTATTTTTCGCATTTTTACCTTTAATTCAGCTTTAAGTCTTTCAAGTTGAGCTTCATGTCGGGCAGCTATTGGTGTTTGTCGCCATGTTCCTTGCGTTTGCTCAAGATTTTTGATTGCACTAGAATATTTTAAAATAATAAAATATCCGTTTTTTTTCATTTTAATTTTGTCGTTTTCTTTTTCGTTTATTCAAATAGAAAAATAAATAGAAACTCTTATGATTGTCTTTACCTATTCAATTCTCGAATAATATTATTACGTCGTTGTGGTTTTTTAGCAGTTGAAACCAGGCCCAAATGGCTTATATGTAATGCGAGATAGACACATTCAGTTGGAAATCGAATTTCATTTGGTTTTTCTAATAGAAAATTAATGAAATAATCAACGAATCTAGTAGAACTAGATAACTAACGGATATTTTCTTGATATATTCTGAATTCTTCTTGCGTTGAATATAATCGAGATTGATCTTTAGGAATTGATAAACGATCATCTGCATAGTATGGATAACTCAAATCAACCTTAACAGCAACAAAAAGTATGTTTAAATGTAAATTCTTTTAACAAAAAAATCCGATTAATACTCGTTCAATATCGATTGGTAAAGCAAGTTGTTGAAGAACAAACGTCAGATTCAGCATAAAACCATCGCCACTAATTTGACTCTCATCGACCTTGACACATAAACAAAATATTTTAGATAATGAATAGTAATCTATCACGATTTTATCAGTAAAAATTTAATTTAGTTTCTTCTCTTTTTTAGTTTTGATGATTTCATGTATCGAAATTTTGACCGTGATTAATCTCATTTGTCAAGGTTTAATATTTATAATTCTTTATCAGAAACCAGAACATTCTCGGACTAAATACGTTCTCATCGACCTTGTTATTTTATATCATATCTAGTTTATCTCAGGTAAGGTTTTCTAATGAGGACAGTATTTGTATATTGAAGTACGTAAGGCATGACGAATAATGACTTAGTTCAAGGAAAGTTGTACGTTTTTGAATATTATAAAGTAAGATTGTTAATAATTCGATTAAAAGAATACTCGTCAACTACTGCTGTTTTTCACGAGCTGTCAATGCATTTTCTGTTTTCAGTTTAATTTTTTTTTGAAACTCTTTTTCTTCAAATATCGAAAATCATAAATCATGCTATAATTGCCAATCATAAATAAATATGCAATTAACATTTGAGCAGGTGACTTATACTAACATTAGTAGTTAAATCGTTTTTCTCACTAATTCATATACATATATATATGCCGCAGTAGAAATTAAAATTCTACTAGTAGAAATTGAAATTCTACTGAATTTTACCTATAGTAGAAACTAAAATTTCAATTTCTACTAGTAGGATTTTAAATTCTACTGAATTTTAATTTCCACTACAACATATATATGTATGTATGTATCCTCATTATGAAATGTAAGTGTACAATTTTGTTGGGTTATGGAATGTATAAAAATAACAAAGAATGAAATTGTTCGAAGAAACTAAAGTGATTGAATAATCAAAGTTCTGCAGTTTACATTCTATAAAATTAAACTACGTCGGTATTCGTAATCGTGTTTAAGGAAATGATAAAATAGATTTGGCTCGGATTCGATACAGAAAAAAAGTTAGCTTTTCACTTCTGAGACTTGTTTTAACCTGCTGCGAACTATCATATATGTAAACCATATACATGTTCAAGAGAAAAAAAGAAATCTAAATTCATATGAATAAGAATACATCGCTAGTCATCAGAACTGTTGTATTTCTATAATAACAAGTCCGAATTTTCAAGCTCGATACATGATTTCTATATGTCCAAGTTGTGATCTCCGTTGAAAAATATTTTTAACTTAAGAATATTATAATTGAAATGAAATAATCAATTTAATTTTTTTTATGGCAGCGTTACTTACAGTGAGATGAGTACGTTTAATATTAAATTGAATATATCTTTGTAAATATTCCAACATTGCATTTCGTGATGATATATTTGAAAAAAAAGCAAGTACTATTTTATGCATTAACTTGCGTGCTGTATATAGTTGACTTTGTACTGTTGAACGAATTTGTTTTTCTTTATATTCAGAAAAATCTGGAGTATTCTTTAAAATATATTATAAAAAGACAAAGAAAGTATTAGACTAGTTTTATAGAAAAAAAGATCAAACGTTTTAATTACATCATCATCTTGTTCTTGTTCATTTATTTTTTCAAGTTGAGCAACAAGTAAATCAATATCATCTTCAGCAAAACATGATATATAAAAAATAGGCGATAAGAGTGTCATTCGTTGTAAACTTTTCCCATCATGTAATGCTACTTCTGGCAACCAATCATTTAATGTCACAAGATATGTACAAACGGGTCGATCATTTCCATTACGAGATTCACATAAAGTTGAAAGTAATGATAAAAGAGTTGTAAAGATATTTGCTTGTGAATATGTTTGACGAAGACGGTAAAGAATTGAACGTACTAGTGTTTCACAAGCCTTTAAAAAAGGAAAAATGATGCATCATCAGTTCAGTATGTTACTTATCTATTTTTTCTTATATATTCCATTGATATTAGATTTGAAAAGTAATGTCAAGCACCAATGTTTAAATTTCATCACGTTTAATCGAATATTAAAGTAACTTTCAAAACTATACCATCGATTTTTCTTTATGATCAATACTACTTAGCATCTATATGGTGATTTCTGAAGAGAATTTTCAAAGATTAAAATGATCAATAGGTTTTTTCTCTAGATGATATTTGAAAAGTCAAAAATGAAATTGTTTAATTGTTAGAAATCAGAAATAGAAATCTATTTAAACTACTCTAAACGATAGAGTCAACAATAAAATGTCATCCAGTTTTCTACGACGCTCTTTTTGGTCGATATATATCAATCTTATTCAATACAGAAATGCTATTTTTTTCTGATATTTCTTATGGGAATATACTAGTTTTGTCGTCAGAAATATTGATATATCTCGATACAACAACAAAAAATAGTATCATGCAGAGCTAGAAGAAATTTTATGATTTTCTTTATCTTTCTGACGCTGTTCAAGAAAAATTAATGAAGAGCTCATTGAAGAGTCAATATAAATGTATCAAATCTAACTATAAATATAGCTTTTTGATGATTTTAGTATCCAAATAAACGATTAAATATAGCTACTTGTTACAATCATTTATTATTCTATAAAATAATGAATATTAATTTTTAATCTCATCTATGAAAATATTTAGGAATTACTGCAATTTTCTATAAAGTACAAAACAAGTATTTTTAAATGCTCTAAATTTATAATAATTGATAAGTTTTATTGAATTTTCTGGAATAACTTCATATCCGCAGCTCTTCAATATTATTAGATTGAAATTCATTTGCATGATTCTAATTTGACTTCGGAACTATTGAAATTAAAGATACTTAATGTTAACAATCAATAACAAATGACTTGTAAGATGAGGTTCGATTCATACCTCAATTGATATGATAGACATTTAAAAAAATACTTATCTCTTTAATTAGTTGCTATATATTGTAGTGCTGCTTAGGGTAACTGACTGCTTATCGAAATGACTTACTAGAAAACAAGACTGCATAAGAAACAGGAATCTCATTTAGTTCTTATTAGTTTGAAAATGTGTAGTTTTTTTAAATACGGAATATTTCTCTTCAATAGATTTCAATAGAAATAAACAATTTAATCTTCATAGGACTATAGAAATTATGCTTCTCATATTTGATTTACCCTGAGCTAGTGTATGTTTCTTTACTAAAAACTTGCCAATCCTTCGACCTCTACTAGAACTTTTTCATTCTTATGTCATTTCTCTCATCACTAAAATATTCAATAACTGATTAAAGTAAATAAATTCATATGGTCAGTTTATGTAAGAAATTTAAGTTCGGTGTTGGTCAGAAATATTTTGACTTAAGTTACCATTATCACTTTTTCTACAGTTACCTTCATTTTAGGTTCTTGATTGTATGATATTTTCACAATTTCATGTAAAAATGATGTGCGTAAGCATTCCGGACATGAATCAATTAATAAAATATCAAGTAATTTAATTGTTCTATTCCAAGAATCAAGGAATATCCCATTATTTGCTATATAAATAAGCGTATATCGAACAGATAATAATCGACAATGTTCAATAAGATCACGTTCTTCTTGCTGTGCAATAAAAACAAATGAAAATAGAAGATTTTTCAAAAACTAGAAGTTTCATTTAATTTACCGTGGAACTTTTATAATCACAACGTGCATAAATATTTAAAAAATACCAAAGATAAGTATCATATTGATCGGAATAATTTGAGTCATTTCTTTAAACAGAAAAACATAAATGAATTTCTGCTATAAAAGAAATGAAAATTTCGTCTATTCGCTGTTACCCTATTAGTGACTTGATTAGATCAGTTTGTGTTACTATAAGACATCGAAGAAATATATCAGATAAAATTGATTTTGATCGACGTTTCAGAGACACTTTAAAGAGAAAGAAAAACTTTTTTCATAAAAATATGGCTTTTGTTTTCATGTTCATTACTTTCAATAATATCATTGATAAATAATTGATTTTGATCAGTGATATTCAATATTAGACGAATAATACGTTGAAGAATAGGCTCTTCTGGTTCTTTATTTAATAGATTCTAATCAGAAATCAAATAAAAGTTCGTGAAGAAATCATTGTTCATTAGATAAGTTTAATAATAAAAAAAAGAATACCTCAGATTTTCGTTTTTTAATCGTTCCATTTCTATTTCCATCATCATAAAGTTGATTGTCTTGTATTATCTCTTTTGGTGTATTATTTGAATTAATATCATAAGAACGTTTATCACCGGTTGAATGTTGACTTTTTAATAATCTGAAAAATTTAAATACAATAATCATTAAATAATGAAAATAACAAAAATAGTTAACAAAAACCTTTGGTCGCCAATAGCTGTCGTCGTATCGACTGTAGCTAAGTCTCCAATATCCATACTTGTATCATCATTTAAAGTTGTTTGTTCCGAACCAATTTGACATGCTGATGAAAAATGAAAAACAAAATAACAAATATTTTAATTTGTGTATTGAATAAATAAATAATTCAATCAATATTTACTAGCAAGTTCGTTCGATAACTGTGTCGATAGTTGTTTATCACTAGCATCATTAGAACTAGTTGAAGCTTGTGATTTTGATGTAGATCCAGTAGAAAATTTTTCCAGACGACGACGGCGAAGCTTATTTAAAGAAAATGAATTTAAAATAATTATGTAATCAAAAACATACTTCATCCGGTGATAATGTAGTTGTAGTTATTGTATCTGTGGTGGCATCTGTTGTTGTTGATTCAACAGTTGACTTTGATTCATTAGATAAGTCATTCATATTGTTAAATGTGATTATTAATTTTTTTCAAAATAACTAAGTTAGTCTAGAATAAAAATAATTGATTGTATTCAATCTTCTCTTTTTTCGATTAGATACAATTAATAATATATATGAATCAATCAAAATAGATAATTTAAATGAGAAGAAAGCTGTTTATATTCTGGTTTGCCGATGGGAATTAGAAAAATGAATTCACACAGTGTTTTCAATATCTGCTGTACTAACATGTACGGGACAACCAAAATCTTCATAAGAATACTATCCTGTCTAATGACTTCTTAAATCAGGTGAATCAAGCATTTAATATTGCTAATCAATATTTAAAAGATTGATAGAACACCTAGAATTATGTACTGAATGTTTTTTATGCCATTGAATTGATCATATAAGTCGTGGATTATGTAAAAAAAATAAGCACAAAACGAATTATGAAGAAAAACATAGAAAATTTGCAATAAAAAATGAATCTAATCTACATTGATTGAATTAAAAACAAACTTCAAGTTCAATAAAAAACTTTTGTCGTAAACGAAGTTAAAAACATAAATATTGTCAACGTAATAATATAGTTTGATCAATGTCGCAGTCAAGGTGACAAGCTATTTGGTTAATGTGAGAGAAATTCTTTTAATGGCATAAAGATAAATAATATAAATAATTGAATAGATAAGGTTTTCCTGTTTATTCCTTAGGCAAATCGCCATAAGAACGAACGAATGAACAGTTGGTACTTACTTATCTACATACCCTACTGTTGTTCAGTTTCCATCTGGAAGTCAGCTTCAGCCATAGATTAACATGTGTCGACAGATGTCACCTATTGAAAGAGTTTATTTGTTGTTATGCAACTTCTGAATAGTTTTCAAATAACATTGAAGTAAATAATTCAAAAAGATATAAATCCTATTTGGAAATTGTTCATGATTGGTAAGTATTCAAATAGGGAAAATAAATCTCACGCTTCATTATCTTGCTGTGCGTTATGAATAAATCAGTGTCTTCGATAAACTTCGCATATTTTTATATTAAAAACACTGCTTAGATAATGTATGTTTCTTCTGTAACATTTGAATAAATATTCATATAATAGTTCTGGAAAATTTATTAAACGCACTTAACTTTAATTTTTTTTCAGTAGCACTGCCTCTTATTATGAGATCAAATATTAATTTGGATATATCAAATCGATTTCCAACATAAATCCTAGTATGATGAGTTTCATTTGATGAGACACAATGAGAGAGTATAACTAGTGCGCTAGAAAAAATTAAATGTTTCTGAAATTTTCACCACAATCTTTCGGTGAACAAAATCAATGGTGAGAAAAGTGGAGAATAGTCACGGGAAGCTGAAAGATTTTTCATTTTGCAATACATTAGTTGCTCTAGTGTCCTGTATCATCTGAGAAAAATTTCTACTCTTCGACTCGGTGTACTGACACAATACATTGTAAATTTTCTAGAGTCTCTATATTTTGAGACTATTATGAAGATTTGATTGTCAGTGAAACTTTATTAAAATAAAGGCTTTTTCGTTTTAAATGACTATTTATGTTATTTTCTTTATGCCAGTTAGGACGTCAGAAAAAAAAGGTAATTAAATCTACGTAATCAATTTTTCGAACTATTCTATAGATTATTAATTCAATAAGACTGCTATTGATAGAATTTTTTCGATAAATTTTTCTTTCAAAATATGTACTATATCTTCGATACATCCGATGTTTATTTTTTGAGAAGTGAAAAAAAAACAAGAGATGCGTTTCGCAGAGCAGAATTCCAATGTTTTTTTCTTCTAGTCTCATTATTATTTATTTCAATGTTTATTAGATTTCAAGGTATCTTTTTCATATAAAATTACAACACTTACATAACAGCATAGGAGCATTTAAAGGTATAATGATTGCTTTCTCAAAACAAATATATTCAATTACATGTACGTATATACATTTAATTGTTAAAATTTTGTACGAGTTTTCATTTACGTGACTATCAAGGAACAAGCTCACTGATCAATGTACAGTAAAATAGCAAAATTTTGAGTGTTTTTGCTTAATTGTCCTGAATAGATGGTTTTTTTCAATAAAAAACATAGACAGCAGTTTCAACTACATTCTATCTATTCTTTCACGAGTTCATACTAAAATTCACTAGATATTGTATCTTTTTAGGAAATGAAATTCAAGCGTAAAAAAACTTTGCTTGTTTTAGACTTCCTGCTAAACAGAAAGTAAACAAACAGAAGTTGGATGAACAATATGTTTTTAAGTATATGTTTTTTTCTAAAGAAAAACAAAACAAATTTGCACCACTCATAAATCCATATATCTGTAGATGTAAACTAATAATTGATATCAATAATATATTCTTCTCTTGCAATATAAAAATCATAAAAGCGTCTTGTATATTTTCATCATTTGTTTTTTCTTGTCAGAACAAATATATTTATTACAATGATCAAAGATATTTTCAAACTTCCTTCTTTGTCTTTTTTTTCTTTTCTATCAATCAGCCCATTGGTCAAAAAATTGTAACATCAATGTTTTTCTTTGAATATAATCAAAGACATAGTTCTGCAAATATGCGATCGTTTTTATGCTAAATAAGTCTTATTATTTAAATCATAAATATACAAAATTTTGATTTGCTTTTTTTTTTCTTTAAGTGAGCTTTTTGATGAATAAACAAAAGTGCATATACAGATAAAATGACAAAGAAAAGAGAAAAAAAAACACAGAGATTCGATGTTCAAATATATCATGGTGATAATAATATCACTATGTCCGTTGTCTACTAAAGTTAAATATTCAATTGATTCAATTGACATTGTTGTTGTTTTTCTTGGCAATTAAGATGATTCATCTAAACAAAAAATTATTATTTCATAGATATAAGAAAACAACAAGATTTTTTACTTTTCGTACCACCATTACTGTTTGAACGATTGCCTGTTGTCAATGATGATCGATTAAAACGTTTTAATTTTTTTACTAATACACCTTAAAAGAAAAACAATTAGTCTTTTTCTTTGAATAAAAAATTTCTTATTTTTATACTTCGAACACGACGCATTTCAAGAATATCATGTTCAAGCTTTTGTCGACAATCTTGTTCTTTAGTTAATTCAGTTCGTAGATCAACTAGAAGAAAAAGCAAAACGCTAATATAGTTATTTAAAATAATAAAAATTAAATTTTTCTTTCTTTTTACCGATTTCATTTTCAAGTTGTTTTTCACGTAAACGGGCACTTTCAACAGTTAATTCGAACATATTTTTCATATGAAAAAAATTCAATGCTGCCGCTGCTGGTAATGTTGACGACGATGATGATAATGATGCTGTGTGTTCATTAGTCGGAGAAGATGTATCGGTAGCTGTTATTGAAAGATCAATAGGTTTTATTAATCGATCTAATTGATAACGAATGAGAAGGTTATCAAAATCATTTATTAACAATCGACTTGCTACATCATACCTCGTTGTTGTTGCTGCTGCTGTTGCTGTTGTTGTTGTTGTTGTTGTTGAGAATTCTCTTTATTAAGATTTTTTCCACTATTTTGATTATTATTTGCATTACTGAGCATTGCATCAATAGTGAAAGGACGTGATTCATCTGTAGAAAACGAGAGAGAGAGAAAAAAAAGACAATAAGATCCTTATCCGATTTATCTATATGGAAGTAGACAAAGTATAGTTAATTTTAAAAAAGAAATCATTGCCTTAAGGGTATCTATATAGTAGCTCTTTTGACAGTGCGATTCCGTGACATGATTTAATTTGTTTCGCGTGTCGATAATAATGAACTCATAACGACGACTAGCGGGTTTCTTTCTTTCTGTCGATAGGGGATTCGTGAAAACGGAAACCATTACTTTCGGTCTATATGAATAAAAAAAAAAAGATGTTTCAAATAGATTTTGACAGCAATAACAGGTTGACTGGGTGGATAACGAGAAAGTCGTTTGCTTTTTATTATTATTCCACTCGGCTAAATCTTTAAGAAAAAAAATCTGTCTTTCTTTTTCTCTTTTCAAGCAAAGTAATTTGAAACTTGAGTATGTAAGCTGATTTAATTCTAATTGAATGTGAATAGGTTTTTATCATTTACTTGAAGCAAGGGGTCGATATGATGACGATGACGATGATGTTGATGATGATGATGATGATGCTGCCATTGATGATGATTTATAATTTGCTTCATTAGAACGTGCTGTTCGACTATCACCCAAAAGATAGGGTGCCGGATGATTATGAGCAAAATGTAACGGTAATGTTGGTGCAAATGCTGAATAACCAAATGAATGTGTAAATGCTGATGATTGAATTCCATTTGATGTTGGCACTGATACATAACCATTTGAATGAACCGGATATTTGAAACCTTTTTATTTTTTAAACGAAAAAAAAATTCAGTTTCCTTTTTTTCTATTTCAATTTTATTTTACTTTGATTTGTAAAGTCAGGAAATGAACGAAGTAAAAAGCTAGATGATAATTTCATACGCTTATCATCTAAACAATCTTCCATCAGATGGTTAGAATTACGTTTGGGTGGTCGACCCGGTCTAGAACTAAATCATGAAGGTGAAAAAAAAACTAATTCAATAAGTTTAATTAACAAAATAAGTATTCGATATGCTTTCTTTTCTTTTTTTTTTGTTCAAAAGACATTTCCATATGATTAAACATCCTCTTGAAATGTCTATTTGAGAACATCTCTTCAAGTTAAAATGTTTTCTTTTTTTGTTTTCAAATAAACATTCTCATATTACAAATTTTGACAGATTAAAATCTCTTAAACAATTTTTTTCTCTTATACTTATGTTAATAGGTTTTCTTCTTTTTTTTTCTTTATTTCTTACCCTGAATTTGTACAATCATCATATAATATATCAAATTCTGATGGTGCAAGTAGTTTACATCGATTGACCCCTGGTTGTATGGCACCGAGACCACGTAAGATACGGACTTGTTCCACATTACATACAACAGGTATAATTTCTAAACGTTTTAATTTTGTATAAACAGTATGTAAGCCACCAACTAGATTTTTAAGAAATAAATCAAATGCTTGCGGCAAACATATTAATTCGCGACCATCAACATTAAATGACGTTAATTTTGTTCCACGATAATCAATAATTCTTACTTGATTATTTTCTGCTGTATTGCGTGCAACAGGTGCAGATTCATAAGTTGTCTTTTCAAATTTCATTGAACATGATGAATGTTGAGAACATATACTTGCACGACAATCATGTTCATGTTCATAATGTTTTCCTGGCAGAATTGAATTTCGCGGTGGTGATAAACCAGTTGTTGATAATAAGCTTGCTGAAGAATCACTATCGCCTGTTGGACTATGTTCTTGTGACATGATGCGCATTGCTTTAAAGAAATCTTTTCTTTTCTTTTTTCTTTTTTCTGTCTTTATAAGTGAATATTGAGATATGCTCGTTTGTCGCTTGCTTATGCAAATCTTCGTATACACATACACTAGGATAATGTGTGTTGATTGAATCAAGTTACAAGGCTGTGAAAGAGAGAAAAAGAAAAGAAGAAATGATGACGATATAAATGTGGCCAGCAACGGTCTTTTTACAAATCAATGACCTATGAAATGATGTGTATATGAAAGAAGAAAAGATAAGTAAATATTTCTTTTCTTTCCATTTATTCTGACTGGTCGAACGCACTGATTGGTGCTAGATGAAGACGTCGAGCGAAAGAGAAATATATATATTAATATATATTTCTTTTTCTCTCATCTACCAATGAGACATAAATAGATGAAATAAAAGAAGGCAAGCAAAAGAAATAAAGAAAGAAAAGAAAGAAGAGAGAAGAAGAAGAATAATAGACTTAGAAAAAAAAAGCGGAAATCGTTAGTGCTTTTTTTTCTTGGTGCTTTTACTTTAAATGAAATATGACCAACATATAAAGCATCTTTATATGTCAATGACAACAACAAAAAGAGTCTTGTTGATTAGGATTTTTCCTTCTTCTATTTCTCTCTCTACTAATTCTTCTTCTTCTTCTTCTTCTTCATCTTCGTCTCCTTCTTCTCATCATCATTTTTTTGCTTTGCCTTTCACAAAAGAAACTCATCGAACGATGTAATCTGTGTATATTGATAAGCTTGACTTCGGGGCTACAAATGTATGATTAAGTAGGAAAATAATAGCACCTGCTAGCATAGGCAAAACAGTCGATTATTAATCAATCACAGTCAGTCTACAAGTAACGCACCATCGATCTGTAATGATGGGCGACGTAGCAATGATTTCATAATTGAAGAAGCTTCCGTCTATTTGTTTCTTTCTATCTCGCCTTGTATCTATCTCTTGCATGCATTTTTCAATTTCAATAATGACCAAGAAAATGCGGCAGATAGATTTTCTTTTTTTTTCATCATTATATACACATATATGAAAGCATCAAATTTCTTTGGTTATAATATTGTTATTATTATATTGTCTATTGAATTCTCTACAGATCAGTTTCGTGTCTTCATTCTTGTCTTTTGATATGATAAACGTCGTCTTATATCCACATTCGCACACACAGACACACAATTGATTTATTCAAAAAAATATATATATATACAAAACAATAACATTATCAGACAAACAACGAGAAGAAGATTTCGTTTCTCTTTCTTATTCTTTTTGAAAACATGACGATCAATATTGAAAAGGGACCGGACAGGATTAATTGACTGTCATTATTAAATTACACATTGAAAAGAAAACTAAGTTGACACATACATATACATTGCCACTCACTTACTCAGAAAAAACAAATATAACGAAGAAGAGGGGAGGACAACCTTTTCGCACCGGATTCGACACCCATCAGAGATTGTTTGATCAAAAGCTCAAGTATGATTTCTTTTATACTTAGATTAAATGATCATTGTCACAATGTAGAAGATGAAGACGATGACGACGAAAAAGAAGAAAATAAAGAAAATAAAACATTTAAGTTATTTTTTTTCTTATTTTGTACATTTCGTCATCGATCATTAAACATAGAAATGAACTAAGATATGATGTACTACTAGTCTTATAATCAGCCTGTCTGACTGATAACGACTGTCAGTTGCGAATCATTTCCTATATACACACATATATATATATATATATACACGTATAGAATGGAAATCGAAAAAAAAATCATCTTCGTTTATCATTTCAAGACAATAATTAAAACATGTTCTAACAATTAGACATTCAGGAACGATATGCGAATACAGAGTTTCAATATATTTATTTATAAGGTAAACATCAATTTATCAAACTGCTGTTCTATTCATTGAATCGATATATATATATGTGTATATATATGCACATGTCAACACTACCTTACTTGATGATGCTAAATAAAAAACAAAAAAAAGGACACATGTGAAGGTAGAATAAGAAAAGGTCAAATATCAAATTAGAGATAAATAGATAGATTAATATTTCATTCAGTCGAATTTTTTATCAAAACTACTTTTTTCAATTGATAAATGAGTTTTTCTTTTAGCTTGATTACACATTTCTATACAGATCATGATTCTTTTTTCGATCATATATAAAGAACGTTGCTTGAAGGTATGTTACAGTAACAAAAGACTGTTTTTCTTTTCTGTAAATTTCAGTCATATAGTTTTGAAAATCCTTGGGTAATATTCTTTCATATCCGGTCAAATGTTTTTTTTTAATTTTCAATCGTATGAATACAATAAAAACTTATATTTGACTATCATTTGACTTCTAGCTATTTAAAATTCTTTTTTTTCCACTTTTTAGAATATTCATTAATGATGAATTATATAGCTACATTTGATAGTTCTGATAACATTACTATTTAATTAAGATATGATTCTAGGAACACATTTTTCATTTTTCTAGAGAAAAAGATTTCATACTTAAGACGCTCTCTATGTTAATCATATTAAGAAAAAGTCAGTCAATTAATTTTTTCCTCGTTTTGATGTAATTCACCAGAAATATGATATTTTAATAGAAAAAAAAATATCTAGATCTAGATTAGTATTAGGATTTAAATCTTTTTTTCTTTTAGGAGATAAATGCAACAAGTATGAAAAAGAATGCTGAGCAAATCTGCCTATTAACTGAACCAACAATAATCATGAAAACAGAAAATAAAAGATCTTTATACTTTTTAATAAACATCCTCATAATAGATTACAAACGTTTTGAATAGATTCTAAGAATTTCTTCATCATCCATTCAACGTGATTGCAATACTAGAAAAAACAATGTTTACATAGTATTTATAAATTATCTTTTACTACAGCAGTTGCTCATGTTAATGACATATTTATTCGAGATTATTATAATTAAATAGTTTATAATTAAAAACTATTTGCTCAAATATTTCGGTAGATTACACTCTTATAAAAATATTATCTGTTGGAATGGTCTCTGTGGATTTCTCTGAAGGAAAAATTAATATCTAAAATTAGTTATCTTGAAAAGTAAAGGATAACTCATATATGAGAATCTTTTGATTATCTTTGACATAAATAATGCTATTGAATTTGTATATACAGTAAATCTTCAAAACAAGATTTCATTGTTATGTCACTTTTTTTGCTTTTTGGAAAGCAAAATCACAAATGATTTATAGTGACATCTAATTCTAGCAAACACAATACAAGTTGATCAGTTACTAAGCGACAATAGAGAGATGTGATCATTTTATGGTGAGAATCTTGAACAAATCAATTCAAATACTTTACATAATATAAAGATGGTTGAAGCTGCTGTTGATTCAGATATTATCAAACGTACTCAAGATACTCTTGGACAAATAATTAATGCGCCAGCACTGACAGAAAAACTTCTGAGTCGACCGCCAGTGCAATTTTTACAAGATATTGTTAAAGCAGTATGTTAATCATTCCTGTACTAGACGTTTCTTTATTTTCTGTCAATAAAAACTATTTAGGTTATGAAAAAAACAAATTTTCTACAAGGATTATATTCGGACGAGGAACTATCATCAGCGTATCTTAAAGAAAGTCGTGATAATAAAACATTATTTATGAAAAAACTTGTTACTGCTGTTTGTAAGCACACAGTTGATGGGAAAACGATCGGCTAAAAGAAAAACAAAAATTTTCTTACTAATTTTTAGATATTGCTGTTAAACGACCACCTGATGTACGTGTTTCGAAAATTTTAGCGGGTCAAGAAGCAGACAAAACAAATCTTTTATTACAAGCTCTTGCAGAAGCAATTAATGCAAATGTTGATAATGGCGATGTTGTTCGAAAAACTTTGCAAAGTTTAGGTGGAACTAATGAAAATGAAGAACCATCACGTAGTCGTGATCGTAACGATCAAGAACAACCAGAAAAACATCGATCGAAAGAAGAACGTTCAAATAATTCCATTGAACGTGAAGAATCAACATCAAAAAAAAAGACAAGTTCAAAAGACTCAACCAAAGTGAAAATGGAATATCTATTTTTAAAGAAATGAAATAAATCGTTATTTTACTTTCTTTTTATGATAGGATCAAAATGATGCAGACGGAAGTAGCCATACAAAAAGACGACGCACTTCTCGGCCTAGTGATGATACTGCTAATGAAGATAAAAGACAGGCAGCTGCACAAAAACAAGACGATGACGATGACAATGATAAAAAAGTCAAAAATAAAACATTTTTTTCTATTCAGCTTTTTTAATTAGAATATTTTATTTAGGATGATGATGATTCAAAACCCCGCCGACCAACACGGCCATCATCAGCTAAAGGTCCACGAAAACTACAAAATAATGGTAGTCAACAACGACCAACATCTCCAAAAAGTTTGAATGAAACGATTGATTTTTCTTTCCTACAATAAATTCTTCGTTATTTAGCTGATCAATCAGCACGACAACCTACAGCACAACAACGACCAACGTCTACTGACAGAGACAATAACGACGAGTAAATTTTAATTCAATGTAGTATTTTCATTTGGTATTTTCCTATTTTCTTATCTAGAAAACCTTTAGTTCGACCAGGTACTGCGAATACTGCTGCTAAAAGGCGTACGCCAATGAAAGTAGCAGCATCTGATGAACTATCTGGGTCAACAGGAAGGTAAATCGTTTTTGTTTAAGTGTCTATTTATGGATAGATATTTTTGTGTGGTCTTTTGAAAAGAGTGCCCAGTGCTGCACAACGTGGTCAAGGAACTTTAATAATTGAAAGTAAAGGTGCTCGTGATAATGATATGAATAATGATGATGACGATGAGGACGCCAATTTTTTAATACAAGAAGAAAAGCCAGCATTAACAAAACCTTTTGTAAATATTTAATTGGTTTCTTATTTGTAATTAAATATCGGTTTTATTTCTCGATAGAGACAAGACGATTCGGATAATCGTGGTGGTGGCATGGGTGATCAGGAAGGTGATGAAGGTGATCAACATGGTGCACTTGTTATCGCAATGATACATTCAGAAAAACGATATGTAGGTGGAAGTGAAACCGTTGGACACCGTTCAGACGTAGTATGTACTCTATCACGAGAGATAAATGTAGTATTTGTGTTATTCGTTTTTTTTCTATTAGAAAACAATCGCACAAAATGATGCACAACGTCGACGTGAACGTGAAAAAATTCAAAAAGATGTTGATAAACTTCGTGAAACTATTCAATCACTTACAAAAAGGTTTTTTTTTTTTATAAAGACAGGATTATTTTTCATGCAAAAAATGATATCATTTTTAATTTATTAGTGTTGTACCATTAGGCAAAATACTTGAATATCTTCAAGAAGATTATGAAATGATGGCAAAAGAAATGCAACATTATACTGATGAATACAAAAGAACGGTTGTAGAACTACGAAAGGAGAAATTGTAAGTTTAAACAAAACAAAAAAAGATTCAATTAAAATCTCTCTATGATGAAAGTATTTATTATGATGCAGTTGTTTTGAGTATTGAATCAATATAGTCTAGCTGATATTTCTAAAATTTTGACTTTTCTTCTTTTAAATACATTTTTTAATGACATTATGTCAACTAACATGAGTTGAAATGTAATTCTTATAAACTAATTGATTGCAATGAATGAAGCATTCAGCAGCTCAGTTCATACGATAAGAACTTCTCAAAAGTTGCTATTTATAAAGATTTTTCTGAGTAGTTAAAATTTGTTTCATTAATAACTAATGCTAAGCGTTTGACAATTTTACCAGTTTTCAGTTGAATATACTCCGATAGATTGAGACTAGAACGTTGATTGAATTTTTATTTTGACTTTAGGAATGAAACTTTTTAAATATTTTATTTCTTTTTTTGTAATTTAGTACAACTGATCAAAGTCTCGAACCACTTCGAGCAGCTTTATTGGATTTCGACGAACAAATAATCGATATGAAAAATCGAATTATATTTATGAAGAAAAAAATTAACAATAATGAAAAAGCGAATGCAAGTCGTCTGCTGGATATTATTCGTAAAACTAAATGAATATTTTTATTTCTTGTTCGTCTAATTCTTATATTTGTGTGAGTGTGGATGCCTATTATGTTTTCATTTAATATACATATCTTTACTATAATAAAATTATTGGAGCATTCTGAAACTAGATACAATTTATTTGTACAAGAGAACAACTTAATAACTTAGCATACAGGTATATGTGTAGTAGATTTCGACTGCATATCTATATTTCATTTTATCTCTTCTATTTGCACAAGACATTGAGCTGATATGTATTTTTAAAATGTATTAAATCTATAAAAAAAAAACGAACTGCTACCAATAATTGTGTAATTATTTGGAGGACAGTTTCGTCAGTCAAAACCATCTAGAATTCCAGTCGTTTTGGACTAGTTCAGTAGTTTGAGAGAAAAATATATATTGAAAACCGTACTGTTCTCTATTTTTCGTTCATATATGCCATTGAACTCAATAGAGAAGTACAGTTTTAGGTTTTATTTACATCCGAAGCGTATATTAATTTTTCTTTCTGGTAAAAGTCTTCAGTATTTTACACAAATACAAGAAGAGGGAGCAGTAAATAGTAGTACAGGGTTGATTTGCAACGAAACGAACATGAATAAATATTGTAAACACAAATGGATACAGTCGACTTACCTATCCGCAGGCTTAAAAATATAGTGAAATGTTTGTCATGTTTATATGCAGCACAAAAAGAACCTTTTACTATTGATCTATCTAATGATTTTAAACTCAACATAGAATATCTTCCACATAGGAATGAATAAAGAAAGAACATAAAAATTGACTCTTGTACTACTTCTTAATTTCCTTTGCTAGTAATTACATAGTGTAAATCTTTATACAATGCTCTTACAAATGAAATAGCTTATGTCCTCGATAGGATCGAACAAACAATTTTCAGTTCGTACAACAAGAGTGGATTACTAGAGTAAGCTAATATAGAAAACAATTGATCATTAGCGCTTTGAATCAGTTTGTTTCGAGCATCTAGTTGTGATGTATGAAGACCCGGTCGAACAATCATATTGTGAGATCTGATAAGATCTTGTATCTGATCTTATATGATCCTGTAACGATGATTCGAAAATCATACAAAAAATCTTAGTTCCTGAGATTTTAGATCAAGTCGCATAATCAGAGTTTTGAAAGATCTTACACATTAATAAGATCTTTCAAGAATCTGATTGTGCGACTTGATCTAAGATCTCAGGAACTAAGATTTTTTGCATGATTCTTGTAAGATTTCACCCATATTCCAAGATCTTGCATGCGTTTCATAAGATTTTGTGTCAGATATTTCGACCTGGGTATTATTAGATCGTTCTAATAATACGGTAGAATAATTTCTCCAATCTTTAAATTGAACATATTCCGACAGATTGAAACTAAAATATTATTTGTATTTGAAAATTACAATGAAAATTTTTTTAAAGTATGGTTTTCTTGTACGTAAGTAACAAAAATCTGGCACTATTTCGAGTGTATTTGTTAGATTTCGATAAAGAAATAGTCGATATCAAAAATTGAATCATTTATTTATGAATAAAATAATAATGCAAAAGTGAAAACAAGTCGTCTGTTGGATATTATTCATTTAATTACATGAATATTTTGCTTGTCTTTTCATTTGTCTAATTCAAATATTTGTGTGCGTGCAAATGTCTTTTGATAAATTCGTTTGATATAGATATGTGTATCTGGAGTATGAGAAATATTAATATGTTGATGCAGTCAACGAATCAAGTTGACTTCGTTGTGAATGAAGAGATTTTGCTTTATATGCTCCATGCTCAATAAATAAAAATCGCGCCATTTGAGAAAAATTGTTTATCTTTTGTATTTTTGTTTTTACATCTTCGCATGCAATATGTTCTTTGTCAATACGTGCTACTAATTGTTCATCTGTCATATCTTGATTGCTAACCGTAAAATATTCAATGGAATATTTTTCACAACGATCTATTGCTGAAGTTGATAATGAAAATATCCAATCAAAAATAAGCTTTATTCGAGTCATATGAAAATCATTTGTAATAACAGCTAAACGATGTAATTCCATCGGTTCTATAATACATTGACGAGCAAAATAAGCATTTCCAATTGTATCAAGTGACCAATTTTCTATTAAAATTTTATTTGATGGAATATTACGTTCAATTAAATAAGCAGCACTAGCTGTTGCTTCATCAATCGGAAATGAATTTTTATCAAGTACAGGCGGATGATGTGTCGTACCACGACTTAAAACCAAAAAATAAGATGTAGATGAAGCCATTTCAACCGCTCGATCAAGGCGAGCACATACCCAAGCTGCTGGAGATCCATTCAAATCAACACCACCTCCAGGTATAACAATACAATCATAAGTCATCTTTGAAAAATATGTATAATCAACAAAGAAAGAAGAAAAAGAATTGATTCAAAAACAAAACTTTGCTTATGTTTATTCCCTTGTATTGTATTCTCAAAATTGAAGCAACAAATAAACCAAAAAAAAAGAGAACATTACGTGTGATCAGAAACAAAACAAAAAATACCACCGAAAAAGCAATATCTATAGATGACTAAAAACAATACATTTAGATGTACATTGAGAAGAAAAAAAAAAGGTGACCAACAAGCAACGGAAAATTAATGTACGTATATATTGATTATAATAGAAAGAACATGAAAACACAAAAATTGCCATTCACCTTAGGCATTAAAAACAATAGATTGTGAAGACTAATGGTTTAACTGTTCTAAAAATGATTTTTTGTCTTCATTATTGCTACCATTGGAGATAAGTTTCAAATTAAATTGTTTCATAGTTGCATCAAGTGCTTCTTTATTGCCAGAGAAGTATGCAGCTATTGCGTTATGAAAAAGAAGCAATTGTTTCTTCATAACTTTAGTCTACAGAACAAAATAAAATAGACTCTAGTTGAGAAAGAAAACTGTTGATTTGTACTAACCTGATTTTCATCGAGAAATTTAAGTTTAATACTGACATCAGATTTTAAATGTTCATATTTTTCTTTATATTTTTGAAATGCATCTTGCTTCTCATTCATATGTGAACCTTGTGATAAAAGTTCCAATTCTGTTCGACAAGCATCATACTCAAGTCTGCAATAGAAAAAGAAGGCTTTTAATGAATATTAAAAGGCTTTGCTAATTGAATTTATACCTTGCTGTTTCATAAAGTCGAATCGTAATTATTGTATCTTCAATGGTTTTTGTGCACAGTGTATTCAATGTAGATATGAAATAATTTAAAGCATTTAGTAATATTTCACCATTTTGTACTAATACTCGTTGAGTTTCAGCATTGTAGTTGAATTCATCACAAAGAAGAAATGATTTTTGTTTCAATTCCAGAAATTGATCAGCTAATATTGAATTAAAATGAAAATAAAAAGTTATTTTTTTCTAGATTTTCTCTGCTGGAACTTACATAGAAGTCTTTGTGTTTGCATTAAATTAGAAAAATGATTCGAATAACTACGAGCTAAAGCAAGTATATTTTCATATCGCTGTTTTGTTTCTCTAAGTTGCTAACAAAATTAAGAAGAAGTTAAAAAGAAGGAAAAATATATAGTTTTCTTCTAAAACCTCTATTTGAGTATCAATTTCAACATCAACTGTACGTGTTGTTTTGCCCAATTTTTCATAGATTGATTGTTTCGTACATTTATAAGTTGAAAGACCCCATTGTTTAAATTTGTCAATTGTTGGCCCAACAGCAGCAACGGCTGCAGCCGATGATGCTGATAACTTCGCCATATCTGGAATAGATATTCTTCGATCAGCTGGAATTGTAGATGTACTTTTAATTACATTCGAGGAAGAACTCCGACCTTAAAATAAATAAATAGATAATAAATTTCAAGAATTTTTGTTCCTACTGGAAAGAAATTCTTGAGATGAAAACGGCGAAGTACGAGATGGATTGTTAACTATGGAGCCAGTCATTGATAATGAATCAGTTTGAAATGTAGCTGCATCGTGAAGACTAACATACGGTGAATGATGTTCTTTGGATAGTATAAGTTGTTGATCAAGATCTACACTTGAAAAATTATTTGATTCCTGATGATTAGCTGTATTTTTTGTTGCATTCATATCCATATTGCTCGAAAAATGTTGTCCGTCATCTAACGAACCAAATGTACTAGCAAACGATGCCATTTTTCTAAAAGTAATCGAGTTCAATGATCAAGAAATATAATCTAAATAAAGCACATATTCAATTGAGTATGATCAAATTGATATATATCGCTAGCATCAATCTGATTCTAATGTTATATTTTACATTGATAGTAACGATTTGTCTGATTCCAATGTATTAATATGAGTGAAATATGAAATCAGACAATCAATTGTGTACATGTATATACTATTTATTTGTGTCTACGTGAAACTATGTCTCGTATTTTTAGGAAAAAGAAAATTTTGCTTTCTAAAATAAAAACGTATTTGCCTACAAGATTTTCTGTTAAATACACATATTCTTTTTTTCTCTTATACCTCAATCATGCTTGATACCATTGTTCAAAAAACATTTAAAAAAAATTCTAATAGATGGCGCTCTAGTCTTATGAAAGCTTTATAAGAGAGTCGCTAAAAGTCTACTTTCTTCATTTGACAATCGTTTAGGAAACTTGTCAGTCAGTAATAGTTCTAGTTCTAGCTAATGAAATAAATAATGACGAATGCAATCGTAGGAATAACTGTTTGAGTTTCTATAAAGGAAGATTTTATTTGATAATATTTTCTGACAATAAACATGTGGCATTTCTGAAGTGATTGTTATTGAGAAACTCTTTGCATTGAAGAAGAATGCTTTTTCAAAAGAGTTTCGCGAATAAGAGCTCAACTAATCAGTTTTTGATGACTAAAGTTAAGTTAAATTATTTCTTTAAAAATCCCTAGTATATTCAAGTCAATTCATTAAAAAAAACAATACGAAATTTCGTGTAAATTCTACACTCATCTCTCATCGAATTTCAACATGGTAAACGATTCGAATTGGCTTTTGTTGATATTTTTCGTCTTATATGATCAAATGGATAATTACGTTTGAGAAAACTTTCTTTCGAAACGTAATGTTGTACATATTCCTTGACTGATAGGTACATCATATCGAGTTTTATTCGAAAGATTAATAATTGATTTCTTAGATTCTAGGAAATATCGCCAAACTTGTTGCAGTCGATAATTGTAAGTACATTAGAGAAATGACTTTTCAAGCTACGAACTATTTTATATCAATTTGATGAACATCATAATGACTTTGATCGTAATAGAGCCTGCTTATAGCTAATGTCATTATTTTCTAAAATCATATTCGATTGACAAACTTCTAAATACAGTCGAGGGAATAAATACTACGTCGAATTATTGCGTATAAGAATTTCTAGTTAGATGATCTACTTTTTTGGTACGAAGTTCATTACAACCTTCCAAAAATACAATCGAATGTGTTACTCATGATGGTTCTACTGCCGAATTTCTTTCTATAAAAAGATCCAATAATCATATAATGATGCTGGGTCTTTAATCAATATATATATATATATATATATATGTTAGCGTCCAAACTGAGATTACGTCCAATCTCAGATTGGCCTAGGCGAATCTCGAATCCGAGATTGGACGTGTCCAATGTTGGATTGAGCGGAAATTTAACATTAAAACGTGAATTACTCTGTATATCGGTATAGGATTCAAATTCTTATTGATGAATTATGATCAGGGTAACTCATACCCTGACACCCTCACCCTTACGCTCACCCTCACGCTCACCCTCGCCATCAAGAT